GAGCAGCTGGGACTTGAATTGGTGCCCATTTGGGATGCCAGCTTTGCAGTCAGTGGCTTAACTTGGTGTGCCACAACACCGGCTCCAAACTACATGTGTCTTAATTTAATGAGTTCCTGATTGTAAGAATTTGGATTATTTCATTTGGGTGCATTCCTCTTTATTTATTTATTTATTTTGACAGGCAGAGTGAACAGAGAGAGAGAGAGAGACAGAGAGAAAGGTCTTCCTTTGCTGTTGGTTCACCCTCCAATGGCTGCTGTGGCCGGCGCACCGCGCTGATCTGATGGCAGGAGCCAGGTACTTATCCTGGTCTCCCATGGGGTGCAGGGCCCAAGCACTTGGGCCATCCTCCACTGCACTCCCTGGCCACAGCAGAGAGCTGGCCTGGAAGAGGGGCAACCGGGACAGAATCTGGCACCCCGACCGGGACTAGAACCTGGTGTGCCGGCGCCGCTAGGCGGAGGATTAGCCTAGTGAGCCGCGGTGCCAGCATGCATTCCTCTTTATAGACGTATTAATTATTCTTCAAGATAGCTATAATCTGAAAGAGTGCCCTTCAGAAAAGTTGTAACACTTGACATTCACATCAGGAGTTTGAGAATGCACCTGCTTCTTGACACACTCATCATCGCTGTTGTGTTAGTAATCATCATCACTGTTGTATTAATACTCTGTTGCAGATTTTTACTCAAATAGGGTTTACCTTTTGACTTATGGCTTAAGTCTTTTGTCATGTACAGTAATTTAACTTTGTCCTTAAAAGGCCTATTGCTTGTCCACTATAAAAATATTCTTTTATATTCATACTGATGTGATGATAGTTTCAAAACTTTTTTTTTATTTTTTTAAGATTTATTTATTTAATTGAAAGGCAGAGTTACACAGAGAGAGGAGAGGCAGAGAGAGAGAGAGAGAGAGAGAGAGAGAGGTCTTCCGTCCGATGGTTCACTCCCCAATTGGCCGCAACGGCCAGAGCTGTGCCAATCTGAAGCCAGGAGCCAGGAGCTTCTTTCCAGGTTTCCCATGCGGGTACAGGGGCCTAAAGACTTGGGCCATCTTCTGCTGCTTTCCCAGGCCATAGCAGAGAGCTGGATTGGAAGTGGAGAAGCTGGGTCTCAAACCGGCGTCCATATTAGATGCTGGCACTTCAGGCCAGGGCATTAATCCACTGTGCCACAGCGCTGGCCCCGACCCCATAAACTTTGTGTAACACATCGGTGATTTTACCATTCTTCCACCCAAGTGTCACCATAAATTTGGTGTTTGTTCTTGGTTCAATTTTAGCAGGATTCATGTTGCTTTCATAGTGGGTTTTTTCAAACTGATGTTTTTATCTTAGTGCCTCAAACTGGGTCCTTTCCAGACACTTTACTGATAAATTAGTATGAATTTATTTTGATGAAAAAAATGTTTAAATACATAGTTTTTTGTAACAGGCATTTTCAATGAATTTTTTTTTTTTTTTTTTTTTTTTTTTTTGACAGGCAGAGTGGACAATGAGAGAGAGAGACAGAGAGAAAGGTCTTCCTTTGCCGTTGGTTCACCCTCCAATGGCCGCCGCGGCCGGCGCGCTGCGGCCAGCGCACAGCGCTGATCCGATGGCAGGAGCCAGGAGCCAGGTGCTTTTCCTGGTCTCCCATGGGGTGCAGGGCCCAAGCACCTGGGCCATCCTCCACTGCACTCCCTGGCCACAGCAGAGGGCTGGCCTGGAAGAGGGGCAACCGGGACAGAATCCGGCGCCCCGACCGGGACTAGAACCCGGTGTGCCGGTGCCGCAAGGCGGAGGATTAGCCAAGTGAGCCGCGGCGCCGGCTCATTTTCAATGAACTTTTAAAAAAGATTTTATTATTTTTTTTAAGATTTATTTATTTATTTGAAAATCAGAGTTAACACAGAGAGAGAAGAAGAGGCAGAGAGAGAGAGGTCTTCCATCCGCTGGTTCACTCCCCAATTGGCCATAATGGCTGGAGCTGCACTGATCTGAAGCCAGGAGCTTCTTCTAGGTCTCTCACGTGGGTGCAGGGGCCAAGGACTAGGGCCATCTTCTACTGCTTTCCCAGGCCATAGCAGAGAGCTGGTATGGAAGTGGAGCAGCTGGGTCTCGAACTGGTACCAAATGGGATGCTGGCACTTCAGGCCAGGACATTTACTGCTTTCCCAGGCCATATTAGAGAAACCTGGATCAGAAGAGGAGCAAGCCGGTGCCACGGCTCAGTAGTCTAATCCTCCACCTAGCTGTGCCGGCACACCGGGTTCTAGTCCCGGTCGGGGCGCCGGATTCTGTCCCGGTTGCCCCTCTTCCAGGCCAGCTCGCTGCTGTGGCCAGGGAGTGCAGTAGAGGATGGCCCAAGTGCTTGGGCCCTGCACCCCATGGGAGACCAGGAGAAGCACCTGGCTCCTGCCTTCGGATCAGCGCGGTGCGCCGGCTGCAGCGTGCCAGCCGTGGCGGCCCTTGGAGGGTGAACCAATGGCAAAAGGAAGACCTTTCTCTCTGTCTCTCTCTCACTATCCATTCTGCCTGTCAAAAAAAAAAGAAACAAACAGACCCCTCTCTCTCTCTCTCTGTAACTCTGCCTTTCAAATAAATAAATTAAAAAAGAAAAAAGAAAAAAGAAGAGGAGCAGCTGGAACATGAACAGGTACCCATATGGGTTGCCAGCTCTGCAGGCAGAGGCTTAACCTACTAGTATACAACGCTGTCCCCTCAATGAGCTTTTATTAAAAAAAGAAAGTTATTTATTTGAGAGGCAGAGTTACAGAGAGAGGGAGGGAGGGAGAGAGAGAGAGAGAGAGATCTTCCAACTGCTGGTTCACTCCCCAGATGGCCTCAATGGCTGGAGCTGTGCCAATCCAAAGCCAGGAGCCAGGAGCTTCCTCCAGGTCTCCTAAGTGGGTGCAGGGGCCCAAGGACTTGGGCCATCTTCCACTGCTTTCCCAGGCCGTAGTGGAGAGCTGGATCATAACTGGAGCAGCCGAGACTCGAACCGGCGCCCATATCGTATGCTGGCACTGCAGGTGGCTTTACCCACCATGCCACAGCACCTGCCCAATCTTGCTTTCCAAGGGAGGAAATTACTTTGTTATTCTTTGGCTTTGATAGATATTCCAAATCAAATGCTTTCTGAGGTAGGCTTGGATTTGTCATTAGCTTTAATGTTAGTCCGTATATCTTAGAGTTGAAGTTTACATCTAGGAATGGCTGAATTTTTTTCTTTTAATTTATTATTATTTATTATTAATTATTTAAAAGGCAGAAGGAGATATAGGAAAAGACCTTCCATCCACTGGTTTACTCCCTACATGCCTGTAACAGCCCATGTTCAAACAGGCTGAAGCTAGGAGCCTAGAATTCCATTTAGGTCTCCCACATGGGTGGCAGGGATCCAAGCACTTAAGCCCTTACCTGCTGCCACCCAGGGTGCGTATTAATAGGAAACTGGAATCAAGCAGAGCCAGGACTTGAATGCAGTCACTCTGATAACGGATACAGGCATCTTAACTGCTGTGCCAAATAATTCCCTACCCCCCTTTTTAAAGCCTAGTCTTTATCTAGTCATAGGTGTTTTTCAGAATTTGAGTTATATTTATAAATTGGTTTTGCTTTCTAACTACATATCATATCATTAATTTTGTCATTCCAGTAAATGTTATTTAAAAATGTTTTAGTGCTTATAAAATTGTATCATAAATATCTCTATAGTTTGTTTACCAGGCAATTATAGTTCATTGTTCATATATTAGTTATTACAATTTCGGGGTGATAAATGTTTTCATATAAAAATCTGCACACGAATCTCTGATTGTTTCCTTAGGTTGTTCCTAGGAATGGAAGTCTATATCAAACTGACTTTTTTTTTTAAAGTTTTTTTTTATTTTTTTATTTTTTTTATTTGAAAGGCAGAGTTGCAGAGAGAGAGAGAGAGAGAGATCTTCCACCTGCTGGTTCACTCCCCAAACTGCTGCAGCAGCTTGGGGCGGGGGGAGGGAGAAAAGGAGGGAGAGAGAGAGGGAGAGAGGTCTTCCACTTGCTGGTTTACTTCCCAAACTGCCACAGCAGTTGGAGCTGAGCCAGGAGCTTCTTCCGGGTCTCCCATGTGGTGCAGGGGCCCAAAAACTTGGGCCATCTTTTGCTACTTTCTCAGACACATTAGCAGGGAGCTGGATGGGAAGTGGAGCAGCTGAGACTCAAACTGGCCCCCATATGTAATGTAGGTGGCAGCCTTACCTGCTGTGCTCTGTGGTGGCCACAAGAAGATTAGAGTATCTTTGAATGGATCTAAGTTTGATCATCTTTTCTGGGGCCAGTGCTGTAGCATAGAAGGTTAAGCCTCTGTCTGCAGTGTCAGCATCTCATATGGGTGCCAGTTTGAGTCCTGGCTGGTCTACTTCCCATCCAGCTCCCTGCGGATGCACCTGAGAAAGCAGTGGAAGATGGCCCAAGTTCCTGGACCCCTTCCCCATGTGGGATACCTGGATGAAGCTCCTGGCTCCTGGCTTCAGCCTGGCCCAGCCCCCACCGTTGAGGCCATTTGGGGAGTAAACCAGTAGATGGAAGATCTCTTTTTCTTTTTCTCTTCTCTCTGTATCTCTGCCTTTCAAATAAATAAATAAATCTTTTAAATAAGAAAATCTTTTCTGATCACCACCATGTTGAGATTTTTGTTAGAAGCAGTAGGTGTCTTTTTGTTTTCCTCTTTCCATGCCCAGTACCTGGATACTCATTTCATTTGTCACGAAGGTCTCAGTTCTGCCTTCAAAACAGATTTCAGATCTGTTTGCCTCTAGCACTACCACAGATAGGCACCCTGGTCTAAGCCGTTACTCTGTGTTTTCTGGCCTCTATCAGTAGACTTCTTGTTGATCCTACTTCCAGGATTATCCTTCTCTAGTCAGAACCTCTGCACTAGGTTTGTTGTCTCCAGTAATCCACCTCTAAGTGGGTCAGTTAATGAACTTGTTTTGACCTGAAAATGTGCTTGTGCTTCTGATTTTTCCAGGAGGAACAGCACAGCATGCTGGGTTCTGGATTTAAAGCTGAGCGTTTACGAGTCAATTTGAGATTAGTCATAAATCGTCTGAAACTATTGGAGAAAAAAAAAAGTGAGTACTACGTGATTACCAAGCCTTTTTCTTTTCCACAAGCCTCAGTGGGTGCTAGCACCCCAACAACAGGCTTTTGCCAGCTACTACTGTGATGTCTCAGGAATCTCGCCTTTTGTAACTAGTTAGACTGAACCACTTTGTTGTAGCAAAAACAACATGTACTTAACTGTTTAACCAACTATGGATTGCAAATATTTGGAAAAAACAAACTACATTTGTACTGAACATGCACAGACTTTTTTCTTATCTGTTTCCCCTAAATAATACATTATAACAACTATTTGTTAAGCATTTATGTTGTGATAGGTATTATAAGTAACCTAGAGATCAGATTTAAAGTATATAGGATATGGTGTCATGGGCTTTTTATGCACATACGTTAGTTTATACATGGGTACTTCCAGAAGTTTATGAAAAGATGGAATTAAAAGTGACAGTTTATTTTGGTGCACAAAAAGCATTTTGAAATTCATGCATAGTTTTTTCTTAATGCACATTTTCTACATATTATGGAAAAAAAAGTGTTTGCACCAAAATAACGAATTGAGCATCTAAAGATTTTGGTTTCCAGGGCAGGGGGTCCTGGAACCAACTCCTGTGGCTAATGAGGGATGGCTGTACACTGTATTTTAGAATAGGTACTGTGACTCCTAAGTTGGAACTCTCAGACTGTACTGTGGGTAAGTTCTCACCTGGACAGAGTGACAGAAAAAATAGAATAGGTGCTAAGGGATTATTATTACCTAGGATGTAGTAAAACCCTGAGTTCTCTCTGTTGGGGTAGCAGTCTGCCCGCAGGCCAGATCGCAGTGCACTACTGCTGTGTGACGGGAGTGGGGTTTGTGTCCTAGCGGAACTGGCCCAGAAAGCGAGGAAGGAGATCGCTGACTACCTGGCTGCTGGGAAGGATGAGCGAGCCCGGATCCGCGTGGAGCACATAATCCGGGAAGACTACCTGGTGGAGGCCATGGAGATCCTGGAGCTGTACTGTGACCTGCTGCTGGCACGGTTTGGCCTCATCCAGTCCATGAAGTAAGATGCTTTGAATCAAAAACTAAGTTACCTTTGGAATTGGAGATGGAATAACGTTGGTCATTTCTTTGTGCAGGGACTAGCACTATGGGACCCTGGTGTGCCCAGGGACTGTTTCCTCCCAGTCATTTGAAGGTGTGGTCTCCATGTAGATAATGTCTGAAATCAAGAGGCCTGAGTTTGAGTTTGAATGTTGGCTCTACCATTTCCTAACTTTGTGGACTTGGGCTCATTTCTTTTTTTTTTTAAAAAAAGATTTATTTATTTAATTGAAAGAGTTACACAGAGAGAGGAGACGCAGAGAGAGGTCTTCCATCTGATGGTTACTCCCCAATTGGCTGCAATGGTCAGAGCTGTGCTGATCCGAAGCCAGGAGCTTCCTCTGGGTCTCCCGTGCAGTGCAGGGGCCCAAGGACTTGGGCCATCTTGTACTGCTTTCCCAGGCCATAGCAGAGAGCTGGATCAGGAAGTGAAGCAGCCAGTTCTCAAACCGGCGCCCATATGGAATGCCAGTGCTTCAGGCCAGGGAGTTAACCCGCCGCACCACAGAGCCAGTCCCAGGCTTATTCCTTAGTTTGAGGTTCCCCACAAGTAAAATAGGTAAAAATGGCTGTCAAGTATAGAACTGTTGTGAAAAATCCAGTGAGACTGGTGAAGTAGCTTTAGATACTAATGAGTGTGTGACATAAAAAGTAGAGTTTTGTTTTAAAGAACTTAAGTCCCTTCCACCCCCTTTTTTTTTCAATCAGGGAGCTTGATCCTGGTCTGGCAGAATCTGTGTCCACACTGATCTGGGCTGCTCCTCGACTCCAGTCAGAAGTGGCTGAGTTGAAAATAGTGAGTACAGCCAGCTCAGTTACGTTTGCAGGTCTTCGTGTTAGTGGCAAGATGGGTGTAAGTTGTTTCTGCTTGTTGGGTCAGGTGTCTTGTATCCCTCTATGCAGCTTTTGAACCAAGCTTTGTAAATTTGTTTCTACTTTTCAGGCTTCATTATGGAGGGGAGCAGTGTTTTACAAACTTGAATTTTTTTTTAAGAAGCAAAGTTTTGTGTACAGCAATTTTTGTTATTTAACATCATACAAATTGAAAACTTTATATAGCTGTAAAGCTGTAAAGCTAACATTTAAGTGACAGATGTTTTACTTCCTTCATTAGTTCATTAAGTATTAGTTGAATGGATGTTATGAACTAGGTTAGTACTGGGGATAATGGTGGTGATCGGTGTTTGACACCAGCCAGGTTCTTGTAACTTAGGGTCTGACGGAAGAGACATGTTAGTCAGAAGATTCTTTATCACAACATGGACAAGGTGTTGACTGTTAGGATCCAGATTCAACTGAATTGTTTTCTGTTTCCTGTCTTTGCCTTCTGTTTAATTTTGTAGGGGGTTGTCTCAGTCTTATCCCCCTTCTCACATGTTGTCTTCTGTGTTTTTTCAAGTGTTTTGGTTTCATAGCTACAATGTCGTCCTTTTGTTTTGTTTTTAAGATTTTACTTATCTGACAGGTAGAGTTAACAGACAGGAGAGACAGGGAGAGAGGTCTTCCATCAGCTGGTTCACTCCCCAAATAGCCGCAACGGCCAGAGCTGCGCCTTTCTGAAGCCAGGAGCCAGGAGCTTCTTCCTGGTCTCCCACGTGAGTGCAGGGGCCCAAGCACTTGGGCCATCTTCTACTGCTTCCCCAGGCCACAGCAGAGAGCTGGATTGGAAGAGGGGCAGCCGGAACTAGAACCGGTGCCCATATGGGATGCCAATGCCACAGCTTCGGCCCCCTTCTTTTCTTTTTAATAAATATTTATTTGAAAGGCTGAGAGAAAGAAATCTTCCATCTGCCTATTCACTGTCTAAATGATTGCAGCATCGCCCAAAGGCAAGAACCAGGAACTCCTTTCAGATCTCCTGTGCTGCATTCCCAGGCTCATTAGTAGGGGGTTGGATTGGAAGTGGAGCAGCCAGGTCTGAAGCTGGCACTCCAACAGCAGATGTGGGCATCGTAAGCTGCAGCTTAACCTGCTCTACTGCAATGCCAGCCCCTATACTTTGTTTTTTTCTCCTTCTTGTCATGTTTATCTCTCTTCAAGTTCCTTTTTTTTTTTTTTTCCTTGTTTTGGACGGTACTTATTGCAGAGACTTTCTGAAAAAAATAGCTGCAATGGCCAGAGCTGAGCTGGAGCCGAAGCCAGGAGCCAGGAGCTTCTTCCGTGTTTCCCATGTGGGTGCAGGGGCCCAAGGACTTGGGCTGTCTTCTGCTGTTTTCCCATAACAGAGCACTGGATTGGAAGGGGAGCAGCTGGGACTAGAACTGGCGCCCATATGGGATGCCATCGCCACAGCGCTGGCCCAAGCTTCCGGTATTCTGGTGGGGTCGAGTGAGTAGTCATTGAGATTTGTGGGTAGAGGAATAGGAGAGAAATGGCAACTTCATTTTTTTAAATTTATTTGACAGATAGAGTTCAACAGTGAGAGAGAGAGACAGAGAGAAAGGTCTTCCTTCCATTGGTTCACCCCTCAAATGGCCACTACGGCAGGCGCTACGCCAATCCGAACCCAGGAGCCAGGTGCTTCTCCTGGTCTCCTATGCGGGTACAGGGCCCAAACACTTGGGCCATCCTCCACTGCCTTCCCGGGCCAGAGCAGAGAGCTGGACTGGAAGAGGAGCAACCGGAACTAGAACCCGGTGCCCATATGGGATGCCGGTGCCACAGGCGGAGGATTAACCAAGTGAGCCATGGTGCCGGCCCCAGGCAATTTACTTTTTAAAAAAGATTTATCTATTGATTAGAAAGGCAGAGAGACAGACATACTTTCCAGCTGTGGGCCCCAAGAGCTGGATCTGGGCCAGGTTGAAGCTAGGAGCCAGAAATTACATGTGGGTCTCCTTTTTGGGTGACAGGTACTCAAGTACTTGAGCCATTATCTGTTGCTTCCCAGCATATTATCAGGGAACTGGATGGAAGCAGAGTAGCTGGTACTGGCACTTGCACTCCAGTATGGGCTGTAGGCATCACAAGCAATGCCTTACCCTACTCTGCCACATACTTGTCTGGCAACTGTTTCTTTTTCTTTCTTTCTTTCTTTTTTTTTTTTTTTTTTTAAAGGTTTATTTATTTATTTGAAAGACAGAAATACATAGAGAGAAGGAGAGAGAGAGAGAGAAACAGAGATCTTCTGTCCGCTGGTTTACTGCCCAAAAGGCTGCAATGGCTGGGGCTGGGCCAGGCCGAAGCCAGGAGCTTGCTCCGGGTTTCGCACGTGAGTGCAGGGACCCAGTTACTTGGACCATCTTCCTCTGCTTTCCCAGGCACACTAGTAGGAAGCTGGATAGGAGGTGGAGCAGCTGGGACTCCAACTGTGCCTATATGGGATGCTGGCACTGCAGGCGGAGGCTTAACCCGCTGCGCCAGTGTCGGCTCCAAAGGCAACTGTTGCTTAAACAGACTTTTTTCCTCCCAAAATTTCAAAAAGATACATTTATTTGAAAAGTAGAGTGACAGAGTGAAAGATCTTCAGGCACTGGTTTCTTCTCCAGATAGCCACAACAGAAAGGGCTGGGCCAGTCCTCTGCCTTGTGGTGTCAGGAGCCAAGCACTTGCGTCATTTGCTGCTGCTTCCCCAGGCACATTAGCAGGGAGCTGGATCTGGAGTGGAGCAGCCGGGAGTCACGCTGGCTCTCCAGTGTGGGACCCAGGCCTCAGAAGCAGCAGCTGAACCTGCTGTGCTACAGCACAGATCCCTCTTCAGCTAACTTCTTATTGTCCTTTAAGTCTCAGCGAAGCATTGCTTCCATAGGAAGCTCTCCCTGATTCATCTGCTCAGGTGTGAGTGCCCTGTTGCATGCTGGTGGCAGTGTGGTGCACCTTCCTGTGGCACTTACAGCTGCAGTTGGACCATAGCTGAGTAACTGCCGTTTTCCCCCGAGACTGCAGATAGAATAATGCCTACTTGTTCGTCGTCATGCTTGCAGTGCTCATCATAATGCTTGCGATAGTGCGTGGCACCTAGTTGCTGCTCGTCAGATGGATGAATAAACAGAAAAATTGACTGTGTTCCCCTTCAGCGTTTTGCACACTTCAGAGTTTTTGAAATTCTGTGATAGAAGCATGTTTACTGTTGACGGGAGGAAGCTTGGAGCATTCTGGAGCGGTGCTTTCCATTTCCCTTTATTGATGTTTTCCTCTGTAGGTTGCTGATCAGCTCTGTGCCAAGTATAGCAAGGAATACGGCAAGTTGTGCAGGACCAACCAGATCGGCACTGTGAACGACCGGGTAATGAGCACGTGTGGGAGGCTGGAAGCCGGGTGCGGCTTGCCGGTGGTGACTGCAGTGGTAGCAGTGCGTGGCTATGTGCATCTGGGGCCGCACGTTTCATGGTGACGGTGACAAGGCTGGCTGGGCGGCAGTGTAGTCAGCGCCTGACCCCTGCCTACTCCCTCTGACTGTGACACGCTGTGGACCTCCTGTCTTTCCCTTTGTGCCCCTTGGGTGTGTTGGGGAGGAAGGTGGGCTGCGGAAAGCAGCAGTCCGTCTTACCAACACCCAGGTCGTGTGCAATGAGAGTGTGAGAGGGTCACAGGTCTGTAGTGTCTTCTGACTGAAAAAAATCATGTAGCTTCTCTAAACTTCCTTTCTCCTCAGTTTTGCCTTTGAAGTGAGAGGGAGGAAGTTTAACTAGAGAGACAGGTTAGGATTGGGTTGGTTACGTGCACGCTTGTTAACCCTCTGCGTCTTCCGCTTGCAGCTGATGCACAAACTGAGTGTGGAGGCCCCTCCCAAAATCCTGGTGGAGAGGTACCTCATTGAGATCGCCAAGAATTACAATGTTCCCTACGAGCCTGACTCTGTGGTCATGGTAAGTTTATTAGAGTACAAAGGAAATACGTCTGTACTGTGAACTTCCTGGCAAAACAGCCATCCTCTTCACGCTAACTGAAGATCGTGTTTGTAAGTGGAAGCCTTTGTCCAGGTAGTGCCTTTCTGACACGGAACGTGCATGCATCGCTCGCAGGCTGCAGAGCAGTCAGCTCAGGTGAGGTGAGATGAATGACTGAAGGCACTTGGAGAAGCTGTAAGCCTCGATGCAAATATAACGTGGTATTATGGCTGCATTTTGGTGACGTTGAAGGAATTGTCTCCCCCTGTGGATCATTCTCAGTGCTTTGGACCTAACCCTAAAACATTTTGGGGCACCTACCATGTTCCATGCACCTCACTGAAAGGATTACAGAGTAGGGGAACAAAGCCCGCAGGAATCACTAAACCATTAAGGGGGATGGGTATACTGGACAGTGTGGTGTGCTGCACAGATCCCATTCCTCCCCAGCGCACACACCAGGACAGAGCATTTACTCCCCCCAGCTCCCAGGAGTGTTGGTGACCAGGAGTTCATGTGACCCCACAGCTGAGAAAAGCTTGCTCTGTGTCTGGTGCAGGCGTTCATGGACTGTGCCCCTTTACTGCAGTCACAGGAGCCTCGCTTGGTCCCGCCCATCTCCAGAGCTTCCTTCTCTTCTGACAGGTGTTCATCTCAAGAGCAGTCCCCGTAGACTGCTTTCATATTGCACCATCTCTTAGAATCTGCTCCCAGGGGAACTGATCTTGGACATGGTTGTTGATAGTGGATGTGTCTTTTTTTTTTTTCCCTCAGGCAGAAGCTCCTCCTGGGGTAGAGACAGATCTTATTGATGTTGGATTTACAGATGATGTGAAGAAAGGTGGCCCTGGAAGAGGAGGAGGAGGAGGGGGTGGGTTCACCACACCAGTTGGTGGACCTGATGGAACAGTGCCAATGCCCATGCCCATGCCCATGCCCATGCCATCTCCAAATCCTCCTTTCTCATATCCACTGCCAAAGGGACCTGTAAGTATTCACCTGCATAAAGTAAACTTCAGAAAATGTGTGACACATGGGCTCCGGGAGTGGACTAAGGAATTGCAGATTGTGAGGAGCATTCAACACTAAGAACATTTGGTGTTAGTTTAGGGATTATATTGTGGAAAAAAATGTAGGGATTCAGAGAGTCTTGGTTTTGGTAATGGAATGAGAAATCTAGAGCAGGAGTGGGGCCCTTTTTTCTTTCAGGGGCCATGTGGATATTTATAACATCGCTCACGGGCTGTACAAAATTATCAGCATAGAAATTAGCCTACTATAGATGGATCCAATTTTGGATTCCGCCTATGGTTGCCCTGACAGGGCCAGAACAAATGATTCCGTGGGCCAGACGTTCCCCGCCCTTGATCTAGAGAGATGGTGTTCCCTTTTCATGTGGGTTTACTGAATATCTTTGGGACCTGTTGCTGTCATACTCACAGCTTTATCCAAAAGTGATTTATGACCACTCATTACTGGTAGAGGAACCTCTTGTCAACAAGAAAAGATCTTTTCCAGTGAGAAAGTCTGATTAGAATTTTCCTTAGTAGAGACTGAAATATTTGGTTGTATAATTTGAAGAATAGGCTTTGGCTGTACATCTTTCAAAACTTAGAATCCCTCTGACCACACACGTCCTTTGGGCTTTTTTTTTAAATGAGCTTTAAAAAAATACACATGTATTCCTGCCTATATGCAAACCTCAAACATTGCAAGTTGGAGGTAGCGTCTTTGATATTGCTTTCTCCTTTTGCAGTCGGATTTCAATGGACTGCCTGTGGGGACTTATCAGGCCTTTCCCAATATTCATCCACCTCAGATACCAGCAACTCCTCCGTCGTATGAATCTGTAAGTGCCTGGGCCTCCTTTATGAGGAACAGGAGAGTGACTCCCCTGAAGAGAAAGCAAATAATGGCTACAGGGAAGGCAAAGTTTTAATCAAATTCTAGTACCAGCACTGCTTTTGCGTTGGGATTTTTGTGTTGCTTTAAGCCTGGGAATGGGGACTGCTAATGGCATTGTTGGGTGCAGTGCTTTGTCTGCAGTTAAGCCAGGAATCAGGAAGGATCTACAGATCTCTTGGAAAGTTGTACTGCCCTGCTAGAGCACTTTTTGTTGTGAATTTTATTTGAAAAGCCAAGAGACGGAGATCTGCCATTCGCTGGTTCACTCCCAAATGCTTATAATAGCTAGACTGGGCCAGTTGAAAACCAGGAGCCCAGGATGTAGGGTGGTTCTCCCATGCAGGTGACAGGAGCCCAAGTATTTGGGGCATCACCTGCTGTGTCTCAGGGTGCACATTAGCAGGAAACAAATCAGAAGTGGTACTGGGAGTCTCACCCCAGGCACTCTGGTAGGGGATGTCGGTATCTTAACGAGCATTTTAGCTGGTATGTAACCAGTTTTTACTAGCTAGGAAGAGAACCATTTTGAGCTGGTATGGTCTTGGTGCTAGAATAGCATAACTAAACCTTAGTTTCATAGGTCGTCAGCACTCATGTAAAGGAAGAGGGGTCAGGTTTTTGTCTTAAGAGGTGTCCAATTAGCAGCTTTCAGCCTTTAGCATTGACCTCACATTTCAGTCTCATCACTGAAACTCGCTCTGAATAACCAGTAGGGTAATGATGTCTTGAACATGGGTGGTTGTAACAGCCTTGTTTCCTCAGTATGTGCCTTTTGTTTCCATCTGATGCTTGACTGAGGAAACATTGTTAACAGCATTGGCTGTGTGAATCATTCATCTTGGATGATCTCCCTGTTCCTGAGCTTGCTTCCTCTTCCTTCCTTCCTTCGGTCTCTCTCGCTGATGCGTTTTACCTCGGACCTGCATTTGTCTTACGCTTCAGTCTTGCATGCACTGAAGCATGGCCTGCAGCTGTTTCTAGGAGGAGGAAGATCTTAGTACTTGAGGACTTGGTTCTTGTAGCTAATTCGGAGGTTTAGTGCTTTCTCTCTGCCCAGAAGGTATAGTGTGTGTGTGTGTGTGTTTTAATGTCATGGTGTGTGAAGACTTTTCTTTCTCTTTGGTTGGTAGTTAAGAGGTCAACACCTGCCTGGTTGGAATATGGTAGGGAAAAGTGCAAAGGCTGGAGGGAGAGTTTCTTTGGAGCAGGTTCTCTTGCGTTTGGGGAACTGCTTTGGGAAAACGGGCTCATGGTACTGTTGGTCCTTTTCCTCTGGTCACAGCTGTTTGTATTTCAGGTTGATGACATCAATGCTGATAAGAACGTTTCTTCCCAGATCGCAGGTGAGTCCGAGTGAGGAGCTTCGAGGCTCAGCGCTGAGCCCTCTGCTGTTGTCCTATCAGCGTTCCTTCCCTAGAGATTTTGTCCATATTGGTGGCTGTCTGCTCACACATTCTGTCCTCTCATAGGCAGGGGCTGGAACCAAACTCAGGAATCTTCCACAAAAATGTTTTCCCCAGCCCCAAAGAATCTGTCAGTGATATTCTTACTTTGTTCAAGTTCTTTTATTCTTGCTACTTTATGTCTGGAAATTAAGTGGTATATTAAAGAGGGGAAATAAGCACATGTAGTTGAGTGAGTGTTTACAAAGCACTCATGGTGACGTACTGTGCACCCGATTCAAAACACGCTGCCAGCACCTCCAGAAACCTGAAGAGATGGTACTTTGTGAAATCAGGGATGGAGCTGCATTGTAGTGTGGTGGGTAGAACTGCGCCTGCGGTGCTGGCATCCCACGTGGGTGTCCCAGCTGCTCCACTTGTTTTTTTTACGACTTTATTTGAGAGGTAGAGGTAGAGGTACAAAGAGAGAGAGGAAGAGACAGAAAGGTTATTTATCCACTGGTTCACTCCTCAAATGGCCATAACTGCCAGAGCTGAGCTGATCTGAAGCCAGGAGTTTCTTCCAGGTCTTCCACCTGGATGCAGGGGCCCATGCCCGTGGGCCATGTACTGTTCTCCTAGGTTCATCAGCAGGGAGCCAGATCAGAAGTGGAGCAGCTGGGACTTGAACTGGTACCCACATGGGATGCTGGCTGCTTTACAGCCCCTTGAGCCAGCATTAGCTGAGGAGCTAGAACTCAAACCAGGCATTCTGATGTGGGTTACGGGCATCCTAATTGACAAGTGATGCATTACATGCCACCTTGAGACAGTTGTTTTATTGAGATGTGATGTGCGTTAAAAATACGTAAGTGTATAGTTTGAGAGCAAGCGAGTGTGTGTGGGTACCCTGGTCAGGGTGTAGAATGCTTCTGTCATCCCACCAAGTTCCCTTGTTCGTTTCCAGTCAGTTCCATGCTGTCCCCAGAAGCAAGCACTGTTCTCATTTTCTTCAAGTTAGAGTTTGAGATATAAATGAAAACATACAATAGATACATATCAGAGGATTACATCAACTAATAGAAATTTCTATTACTTACAAAAATTCCAGCCCCCCGAGCCTTGATGAGTGCTCCTTCCCAGGGAAGCAGCGTTGTGCAGTGGTTCTCACCGCTGCTTCCCTGCGTGGGACAGGAGCAGACCTCTGTGGAAGGGCGTCGGTCTAGATGGCTGCTTTATGGAGCTGGCCTCACGCAGCATGCTTGGAACGCCTGTAAACTTTTTTCTTGCAGTAGGAAAGTGTAGTAGATGGAATTCAGGGGAAATGTACAGTTAATTGTCCTGAGAATGGACTGACCTTTAGAGTTAAGTGGTAATTTGGTAAAAAAATTAACTTTAGTCATCTTAGCTTTTTGGCTAAGGGCTCTTGTGTGCCATTGCTCTGACAGTTGTAACATCATACTTCTCGTCCTAATTAGGTCCCAGACCTAAGCCAGAGCCCTCTGCAAAGCCCCCTGCTAGACCAGTGGAGAACTATGACAACTTCGTGCTCCCAGAGTTGCCATCCGTGCCAGACACACTACCCGCTGCCTCTGCTGGTGCCAACTCCTCAGCATCGGAAGACATCGACTTCGATGATCTTTCCCGGAGATTTGAAGAGCTGAAAAAGAAAACATAGGCCTCTGACAGCAGCAGCTTCCAAGTTCCGGGAGTTGAGACTGAGCAGTTTCTCCTTGTAACAAAGAACCTCCATGAAATTCCGTTTCATCTTAACCATCACCGAGCACACCCTTCCTTGGGGCGCTCTTCCTGTGCTACCAAATTCTGTTGCTTTCCAGTTCTCTGTTGATCCTTAGACTAACACTGGAGACTCTGGCCAGAGACTCCGTGGGCTCCTGGCAGCTTTGCTTGTCTGTCTTCTGTCAGAGGGACCCCACAATCTCTCCTGGCTGATCCCACAGGAGGGTGAGATGAAGCACCGTGGGGAGAGTCGCCAGAGACAGCTGGGCCGCGGGGAAGAGCAGCTCAGGAAGGTCAGCTATGTCGTGAGGCTCAAGCCCTCTACGGCAGGTGTAGGGAGAAGGCTCACTCTGGTGTGAATAGAAGAGAGAAAATGACTCAGGAAGCCACTGGAACGGTTCCTGGAGCTGGGCTCTGCTAGGCACATACACTGCTCCTTGCTGCACGGCACTCTTCCACCTGGATCCAGTTGCAGAGTTTATTTGGGGAAAGTTGAAGCCCTCTCTTGGTTCTGCTGGATTCTCAGGGAGCCCTCCGTGGCCTTTCGCTTCTTCTGAGTGCTGTGTGTCCCTCTCACTAGGGACAGCACTGCAGACACTCCGCGCCGCCCTCCTGCACCCCGGCATGTTCTGGTGATGAGCACTGAGGACAGGCCACATGGCGGGCAGAGGCTGCCAGTCAAGTCTAGGGTGGGCTCCCAGCTGCCTTAATAGATGTACTCAAGTGTCTTGGGTAGTGAGCTGGAATGCCTACAGGAGAGGAGGGGTACCTGTTTTCATTTGAAAACTTTATGATTAAGGGAATCTTCAAAAACTGATCTTGGATCAATTTTTAGTGCCCACGTGGCTACAATTCACTGCTTTCCAGGTGGTTGAGACTGACTACTCCTTTGCCCCCTGGCTAAGGCCATCCTTTCCCACAGGGACAGCCTTGGGGTTGGAAGACATGACTTCTGCTTCCGTGTAGTATATCTGTATATACCTGTTTAAGCAACTTTTCTTTAATGTTTTTGATTGGTTTGTATCTCAGAGCTCAGTAGCTGCTAATAAAGTTAAAGATCCTGGGTCCTGCTTTCTCCACTGTTCGGTCAAACAATGGAGTAACAATTTGGAATTGAATGGAGACTATTTTAAGCCAGCCCCTTCCTGCAGCTCCCTCAGGCTCATCTCCATGTCTGCTGAAGCTCAGATGTGCCACAAGCATCTGACTATTTCTCAGTTGGCAGTGAACTTTCTTTGGTTCCCACAGCCATCCTGCAGCACCGGTGGTGTTTTCCTGACAGTATCAATAGCCACAAGCAAGAACTTGGAGCCATGAGAATTCTGATTCCTCACTAATGTACAGAATTCAGAATAAAGTGTTTTATATGCACCTATAATTTTCTAAGTGCACCCTGAAGATAAGACACTAAGCAGTAATAAGCCAAGATAGCTCACCTTCTAGGACTGCAGTCAGTGCCCACTGCTGTCATGGCTGCTTCTCGGGGGAGGGATTCTGGTGCCACCGGATTCCTAACAAACTCGAGAGCTTCTGTAGCAGCATATCTAGCAGTGTAGTTTCTGTCTGTTGAAGACAAAAGCAGAAAAATGAAGAAATTCAGATTGTTCCTACTGCTGGAGTAAAAGGACCAAAGATAGATTCCAAGTAAATGCACAGGAAGTATTAAAATGCTGTTTCCTTAATGATGGACTGTCAAGCATTGGAGAGTTTCCAGTACTTAACAGTCGAGGGCCAGTTTGTTTAGAGCACGTCACGGTGAGCCGGCTTCTAGGAGAACGGGTGCAGGAAAGTCAACACACTGGGTCTGTGTTCTCACAGGCACACACACAGGTGGTCTTTCCAGTGGCACAGAATCACTAGTTTTCACTCACGGAGCCAGAAGGTTGCCTACCTTCAGGGACTTTCTTTCTTTTCCAAAGGCCATGAGAATAGCAGAAACAAAGAGATTGATGACCACAAGTACCATCAGGATGGCGCTGGCGAGGATCAGGAAGCAGCCCAGGACTGGGTCTAAAGCAATAACCTGGAGAGAGCATAGGAACACCCGAGGAGCTGACAGCTGAGTGTATAAACAATGTACAAGCGTATGCTAAGGCTTGGGATGTGTTCCCAAGAAAGCCTTTATCCAGCGGAAACCAGGAGGGAGGCAGTAAGACAAGGAGAACAGGATTGGGCAGAGCAGGGATGACTGTCAGGGTGTTCCGCTGATTTGAGTAAAACAGTTAAACTGCGGTGGAGCTGTAAATGACTGAAAGCCCATGTGAGTTTTGGCAGTTTGGGAAAATACCCCTAAATATGGAAGCTTCTAGGGGGTATCAAGCACACAGAGAATAAAATGTGTTCCAGTAGGAGGGACAATGAAAACCTTGTGCTGTACCAGGCACCTTCTTCACACAGGAACATTCTAGCAGAATTGAACTGGCTGGGCATAGGAAGCTGGCATGCATTTATTACTTGAGAGTGCTCCCATCCACTAACGGTTCACTCCCCACCAGTGGAGGGCTGGAGCCAGGAGCTGGGAGTTCAATCCTGGTCTCCCACAGGGTGGTAGGAACCCTGGTTATTGGAGCCATTACCTGCTACCTCCCAGAGTCTGCATTAGCAGACCTCAAATTGAAGCTGAGAACCAAATCCAAGTTCTATGATGCTGTGTGTGGGCATATTAATTGCTAGGCTTAACGTCTGTCCCTGGCATGCTTTGTCTTTAAATTATTATTAAAGATAAAGATACTGAGTTCTGTCATTATTTACTTTCGTGTATAGAGATATTTTCTCAAATTTTGGGCCTACTGCAATGGTTCCCATAGCATTCGTGTTTGCTTTTTAAAGGAGTGACTGGTGATCTAGTCATTGTTGCCATCAGGGCACTCCACAATTCAGAGATGACGACTGAGAACACCTCCCCGAAGGCAGTGTCTGACAGTGTTTCCCAGCACTAACCTGTACGGGCTTAGACGTGCTCAACAAACGAGTCCAGGTTAACCAAGTAATTTGGGTAGCCTGAGCGTGATATAAAACTCCTCCTTAGTAAGCTTGCTCCATTTCCAATCTTCATGTCGTACAGCTCCACTAAAACCAGGCATGTTTCATCCGGGTCACCCATGTGGGTACAGGGGCCCAAGCCCTTTTGGCCATCTTCCACTGCTTTCCCAGACCATTAGGGGAGAGCTGGATTGGAAGAAGAGCAGCTGGGACATGAACCGGTGCCTAGCCTACTGTGCCACAGCGCTGGGCCCTGTTCCACTTCTGAGCCTGCGCCCTACTGATAGGAAAGCCGTGGAAGATGGCCCAAGTGTGTGGGCCCTGCTAATGAACCAGCAGTTGGAAGGTCTCTCTACCTTTCAAATCAATAAATTATTAAAAATACAAAGTGAGGAAAACAGGACTAAGTGCTTGAGAAAGCACAGACTTAAAGCAGTGCCCACTCACAGGCTGGAGTAGCCGTAGCACACACAGAATGGCAGAGGATCTAAACACTGGTGTGCAATGATACTCTACAGTATCTTACTCTACAGCTGCCTTCAAAAGCAAGCCCCTCCTTGTTAGAGATGTTTAAACCAAAGAGAATTCTGCAGGGAAACCAGGATTTGTTACCTCTTTGTAGTGAGAAATTCCCATGAGGAGACCAACAACAGTCACCACCGAGTTGACAAAAGTCCTGTAGTCAGAGATTTTCCATCCAAACAGCACGTGAAACTGAATGGGAGAGAAGCTGTCAGTGGGTGCTGCTGTAGTTTGCTCTGTCCCGAGGGGCTTGGTGAGGGGCCCAACACAACCAGGGGAAGGAAAAGATAGGGGCAAATTATTATGCCAGCCAAGATTCCCCTTGTAACTAGTGTTTTCATATGAATTTGACTTCACATCCAGTGAGCTAAATTTTGTCCCCATTTTAGAGGCAAGGAGACAAAATGGGTTCAAGTCCTACTAGTTGAGCATGGGACTTCAGCCAGTTGCTGCTTTCTCTACCACCCTTTCTAAGGAAGCGACTAGTGTCCCAGCGCGGAGCCCCGGGCTTACAACGGTCGCATAGCCAGTGAGCAGGAGCAGGATGATCAGCAGGAAGCCGGTCACCTCGTCCCAGGCTCTGCTCAGGGTTCTGCTGATGACCTGCAGCCTGGCGTCATGATGCAGCAGGTTCCATAGCTGAACCGTGGCCAGCAGAACCAGGATTCCCACCAGGTGCGTGACCGCAGAGTCCACTTGAACTGCCTCATGGAAGTTGATGAACCTGTACCAAGGAGAGCGGACAGCTGCCCAGCATGAAGCGTGTACCCCCACCCCCACCCCCCGTTCCCTGGACGCTCCCCCGCCAGACCACAGCCCCTCTGAGGCCTGTCAGGTTGAACGCCTGGTGTTAACTCGTGCCAGGGGGCGCTGCTGTCCGAGTGGATTTGAGAATATTAGTAAGTGGCCGTGTACTGGAGGCGGGGTTCGGTGCAGGGGGTAAGTCGCTGCTTCGGATGCCATGTCCCATATCGGAGTGCCTGGTTTGAGTCCTGGCTCCTGTTATTCTTACTACAAGGTTTAGAAAGATTTTTAATATTTTTTTTTTTGAAAAGCAGAACGTGAGCACTGATTATCTTCATCTCCAGCACTGCAGCAGGCACGTGGGCGCCCCAGGCAGTGACTTGACTCGGGCACAACGCCCACCCGAGCTCCCTGCTAAGGCACATCCTTGGAGGCTGCAGTAATGGCTCAAGTGCTGGGGTCCCTGCCAGCCACGTGGGAGACCCGGATTGAGTTCCCAACTCCTGGCTTTTGCTTGGCCCAGCCCTCACTGTTGTAGGCATGTGGGGAGTGAGTCAATGTAAAACGAAATAGTGAAGTTCTTTTTAAGATTTATGTACTTGAAAGGCTGAACGGCAGAGATTACCATCCATGGTTCATTTCCCAAATGGAGGCAACGGCCAGGTCTGGGCTGTTGCTAGGAGCCAGGAGCTCCATCCGGGTCTCCCACGTGGGTGGCCGGGTCCAAGCACCTGGACCATCTGCTGCTGCCTTCCCAGGCGCATTAGCAGGGCGCCAGATCAGAAGCAGCGCAGTGGACCCACCCCGGGCCTGTATGGATGGGATGCTGGGGTCCTAAGCAGCCACTTCACCCGCCTCGCCTCGGGGCCGTGAGGCCGTGTATTGCGTTGAGAACGACCCCGGAGAGACCTGGGCGTGTGCGCCCCACCCAGAGACCCCGGATCCGTCCTGCCCGCTGCGCTGGTCCCGGCTCTCCGCCCCTGACCTGAGCAGGGGACGGCGGCTCACCAGCCAGGTGTGCGCACCTGAGAACTCGTTTGTGACCTCGTGTGACGCGCCCACACCGCGGCACCACGAACGCACACGCTCTGTCCCCCTCGACGAGCCCTTCCAGCGACCTCCGTGACCGCGAGCTCACGTGCTGTTCGCATGCACGCGGCCCCAGGAGGACCCGAGCGTCGGACCCGGGGGTGGGCCCCGCGGCGCCGACCTACCTGTCCCGGTCCTGGCGGCGCTGGGCCATGTAGGTCCTGTGCAGAAAAATCTGCCTGAGGTCGAGCACCAGGATGACGAAGCTGACGAGGACGACGCTCGTGTCCAGCGCGTTCCTCTTGTGCGTGAGGAACCTCCACCCCTGCTGTCTCAGCCGCCGGCCCTGGACACGCACGGCGCGGTCAGACGGCCCCTGGGGACACGGGCCGCCAGCGCCACGCTCCTGGGACGCGATCCTTTTCGTGGAGACCACAGACCTGTGGCTTGGGAAGCTTCTAATGGGGTTACCCAAGCACAGGGGGCAGGCGTTTGGAGCAGGCGAGAGGATGCCGCCTGGGATGCCCACGTCCCGGATGAGGGGGCCTGGGCTCCGGTCCCGCTCCCCTCCTGTTGATGTGCACCCCGACAGGCAGCAGGCGAGAGCTTGGACGTTTGGGTCCCCGCCACCCACGTGCAGATGCCCAAACTGAGTTCTAGGATCCTGGCCTCCTGGCCCGGCCCAGGCTGTCGTAGGCATTTGGGCAGTCAACCAACTTTGCCTTTCAAATAAATGAAGCTTTTTTAAAAAATACCGTTTGGCTTAAGATACACAGTCTCTCTGAGAGCCATCGTTCCTGTTTTTGAGAACTTACTCTTTGTTCAGCATACTTTCTTGATGCGATTTTGTAGTAGGGCAATAAAGATACATGGAAAATCAATTCCACAGAACTTTTTTTTTAAAGTTTTTTTTTTTTAATGATTTTATGTGAAAGGCAGAGTTACAGAGGTGCAGAGAAAGATTTTCAATCCATTGGTTCATTCCTCAAATGGCTGCAATGGCCCCAGAGCTGGGCCAGGCCAAAACCAGGAGCCAGGAGCTTCCTCCAGGTCTCCCACATGGGTGGCAGGGGCCCAAGCACTTGGGCTATCTTCCACTGCTTTCCCAGGCACGTTAGCAGGGAACTGAATCAGAAGTGGAGCAGCCGGGACTTGAACTGATGGATGTCAGTGTTACAGGTAGTGGCTTTACCCATTACTCCATAACACAGGCCCCAGAACTTAATTCTTAAACTCTTGAAACTGGTTTTCCGCAAGCCAGGGCTGTCATTGTGGGGTAGCAGGTAAAGTTGCTACCTGTAACATGGGTATTGGGCATAGGTTCAAGTTCTGGCTGCCTCACTTCGGATCCAGCTCTCTAATGCACTTGGGAAAGGCAGCAGCAGATGGCCCAAGTGTTTGGGCCCTTGTACCCATGTGGGAGACCCAGATGAAGCTCTGGGCTCCTGGCTTTGGTCTGGCCCAGCCCTGGCTGTTGCTACCATTTGGGTAATGAACCTGTGGACAGAAGATCCCTCTTTTCCTAACTCTGCCTTTCAAATAAATAAATAAATCTTTTTAAAAAACTTTAATGTCTGCTCTTTTTTTTTTTTAAGATTTATTTACTTGAAAGGCAGAGTTATACAGAGAGAGAATGAGAGGCAGAGAAAGAGCGAGAGAGAGAGGTCTTCCATCCGCTGGTTCACTCCTCAGATGGCCACAATGGCAGGAACTACGCCAATCAGGAGCCAGGAGCCTCCTCTGGGTCTCCCATGCAGGTGCAGGACCCAAGGCTTGGGCCAGCTTCCACCGCTTTCCCAGGCCAGCTGGGTAGGAAGTGGAGCAACCGGGACTCTACCTGGCACCCATATGGGATGCCGGCACTACAGGCAGCAGCCTCACCTGCTATGCCACAGCGCCAGCCCCAATAAATAAATAAATCTTAAAAAAAAAAAAAAAAGTGGAGCAGCCAGAGCTTGCATTGGCACTCGTGTGGGCTACTGCTGTCACAGGTGGTGGTCTAACCCACTGCACCAACACAGCAACCCTGCATCTCGCAAGGTCAACTCACCTGTACGAAGGCATAGTAACAGACCAGCAGATGATAGACGACCTGGGAGATGACAGCCCAGCCAAGGCCCTCCAGTGTCTGCGGGGAAGGCAGGCTGCCCACTCTCACAGAGCCGATCAAAGTCCCTGAGAATCACAAAACGACACTTGGAGGCGGGAGTCTTTAAAACGTTTGCCCTCTTCAGACTTCTGCCTGCGACTCGCCCGTCCCCGATGATCAAGTGGTCTCTCCATGCCACCCAGCGTTTCCTTGGTGACTGCTGCATGAGGTCATGCATACAAAATGCTCAGGGACAGGCTGACTCCACTGAAGCTGGGAGAGCATCCCAGCTGGTACAGGTGTCGCCGAGTTGGAACGGCCGTGAGATCTGTCTCGCGCCACGAGCTCATGAACGCTAAGGTGTATGTGTGAGGGACTTCAGAGTCCACCTGGGAGGACTAGGAATGTCGTCCCTAAGGTCGTGAAAAGTCTCGGGAGCATCGACTTCCCATGAAACCCCACAGCACTGGCACTAAGGTGTCCCCCTGGAGGGAGGAGGGACATCCAGGAACAGGAGTCCCTCCTCCATGCTTATCTCCCGCTCGAATCTTTGGTAGTTAGCAACGCTCAAAACCCTGCGGAGAGCCTCAGGCTGCCCGCTGCTTCACTCAGAAGTGAGACAGGAGGTGCAGGTGCTGGGCACAGCGGTTAGGCCGCTGCTTGCGACACCAGCGTTCCGTATAAAATGAGTGCCTGGGTTTCTGTCTCGACCTCGCTCTTGGTTCCAGCCTCCTGCAAATGCCCACCGTGGAAGCAGTGGTGACAGCTCAAGTATCTGGGTCCTTGCTACCCAGGTGGGAGACCAGGAATGCATTCCAGGCTCCTGGTGTGGGCCTGCCTAGCCCTGGCTATCCCAGGCATTTAGGGAGTAAATTGGCAATAGGATATCTGTGTGTGTGTGTGTCTGTGTGTGTGTGCACACACGCATGTACCATTCAAGTAATTTTTTTTTAAAAGAAAGAAGACTAGAGGAGTGGGCATTTACTTTAGCGGTTGAGATGCCCGTGTGCCACGTTGCTGTGCCTGGATTCAGGCCCCAGCTCCAACTCCTGATCCAGCTGCCTGCTAACCCAGAGCCTGGGAGGCAGTGCTGGCGGCTCAGTGACTGGATCCCCGCCACCCCCTTGCAAGTCCCAGACTGTGTTCTCATGCCCTGGCGCTGGCCTGGCCCAGCCCTGGCTGTTGTGGGCTCTGGGGGCGTGGACCAGTAGATGGCAGCTCTCTCTGCCGCTCAAAATAAGTACGTAGGAACAAGGGCAGGAGAAGCTGTGTGCCCTCGGCAGGTCTGGGGACGTAACATTGCCGCTCAGCAGCAGGACACTGGGGAGAGACGGGCAGCAGGATTGGCACAGACTTCCCTCTGGGGGCAGTGCCTGTGCCAGCGGCCTTCCAGCTCCTTACAAACACCGCTGCAATGACAGTGACGGGGCACCAGTAACCTACAGGGAAAGAGAAACAGGAAGAAAGAGAAAGCTGTGTGTGTGCAGCAGCGATGTGTGTGGTGCAGGAAAGCTACATCCTACAGAAGCAGACTGTCTAAACTCGCCGAAGGGAAGCATGACTCAATCGTTTCTAAAGTCCAGGAGAACCACGTGAAAAACTAAGTGGCTGCTTCTGTGCCGTTAGGATCTGGTGGAGATGAACAGAGTTCTGGGTTTTCACTTGTACCATTGGCTTTAAAAAGATTTTTAAATATTATCTGAGACAGAGAGACAGAGAGAGAGAGAGAGAAAATATCTTCCATCCACTGGTTCACTTCCCAAATCCACAACAGTCAGGGTTGGGCCAGGCCAGAGCTAAGGCAGGAACTGCATCTGGGTCTCCTGCACTTGGGCCATCATCTGCTGCCTCCCAAGGTGTGCATTAGCAGGAAGCTGGACTAGAAGCGGAGCGAGGACTCAAACTGGGAGCTTTAATATGGGACGTGGGCTCCCCAGGTGTCAGCTGAGTGCTGTGGCATATGCCCATCTTGTACCTCTTTGACTTTTACAGTTATATGCAGTAACTTTAAAGCACCTTTCCATACGTGGTCTAAGGGAAAGAACGCGGGCCTCTTCCCAGGATGCTCAGGTCCAGGAGGAGGAAGAGGAGGGACAGGCTTTCATACCCACATCACTGGACTCCAAAGTCAGGGTCACCACACAGAACAGGTTCACATTCGCATTGAAGACCACAAATTCCACAGAGAGGACTTTCGTGCACCGGTCCAGCCAGCGCTGCTGTTCAAGGTGCTGTAGGACCCTGGGGAGACGGGCGAGGACACACAGCTGCTTTCCGCATCCACACGGTGCCGGAGGGCGGACCCCACCGCGGCCAGAAGCTCCACGTCCTGGTCTAGCTTTCTTGTAAACCTCCGCCGACTACTCGTGCCCAGGCTTACACTGGTGTCAACTTGCATGTCAGCGTGGTAGACTACAAAATGAAAGTGCTCACAAGAGCATTCAGACCAGGGGTCAGCGTTCAGGAAAACTCATTTGGGGTTTAAGGTCTAAGACAGAGTGAGTTTCCTGGCTATGTCAACCACTTCCATGGGAAATATTAACGGCCACTCAGCCAGCTGCTCGGTGAGGAGAGGCAGCAGCAGTGTCAAGGTCGCTTACTTGGCTGGCCTGGTGGGTTTTGGACAATTCCTTGCTGTAAGCTAAGAGATCATTAGGGGATGGACTCGGCATTCATACGCTGACAGGCGCTGAGTTCCCAGGCCTTGGAGAGATGGCCAGAAGCAAGCGCTGGGCCCTGCTGCCCAGGGCTCGGGCTGGCTCACCTGGCGGCAGTGCTGGAGTTTTTTCCCAGCCTCACGACACAGCCGCCTTCCGAGTAAGCGGCAAACTCCCCCTGGATGGGAGAGCCGCGCTGGGCCTCCTCGTCCTGGTGGTGCCACATGGCCTCCGGCGTTGTGATGTTGGCATTGGGGGTTCCCCAGTGAAGGCCACAGTTCCCGGTGCCCTCCCAGGGCTGCTGCGGTGGCGTCCCCTGTTCCTGGGCAGAGGCTGCAGCCGGGAAGGCAGCGCGGATCTGACGGAGGAGGACCGTGCCCAGGAGGAAGCAGTTCCCGTCGGTGATAAACCCTGGTGAGAGAGGAGGGCGGCGCGTGACACCCACCGCAAGATAGAGCAGCAACGCAAAGATGCACACGGCCGTTTTCAGTTTTATTTATTGAGAAGGCAGAGTGTCAGAGTGTCGAGAGAGAGAGAGAGAGTGTCGAGAGAGAAAGAGAGAGAGAGAGAGATATCTTCCACTTGCTGGTTCACTCTCCAAAACCAGTGCTGACATGGGTGCCAGTGGCAGCTTGACCCACTGCGCCACCACACTGACCCTCCACGTCACCATTTAAAAAAATTTTTTTTTATTTGACAGGTAGAGTTATAGACAGTGAGAGAGAGACAGAGAGAAAGGTCTTCCTTCCATTGGTTCACTCCCCAAATGGCTGCTAAGGCCAGCGCTGCGCTGATCCAAAGCCAGGAGCCAGGTGCTTCTCCTGGTCTCCCATGCGGGTGCAGGGGCCCAAGCACTTGGGCCATCCTCCACTGCACTCCCAGGCCACAGCAGAGAGCTGGCCTGGAAGAGGGGCAACTGGGACTAGAACCCGGCGCCCATATGGGATGCTGGCACCACAGACGGAGGATTAACCAAGTGAGCCACGGTGCTGGCCCCCATTTAAAAATTTTTTAAATAAGTGCAAGCTGGAGGGGCTGGCACTGTGGCACAGCAGGTAAAGCTGCCACCTGCAGTGCTAGCATCCCATATAGGCACTGGTTCAAGTCCCAGATGCTCCACTTCCGATCCAGCTCTCTGCTGTGGTCTGGGAAAGCAGTAGAAGATGGCTTAGGTGCTTGGGCCCTTGCACCCATGTGGGAGACCCAGAAGAATCTCCTGGCTCCTGACTTCGGATCGGCCCAGCTCTGGCCATTGTGGCCATTTAGGGGAGTGAACCAGCAGATAGAAGACCTCTCTACCTCCCTCTCTCTCTCTGCCTCTCTGTAACTGCCTTTCTTTTTTTTTTTTTTTTTTTTTTGACAGGCAGAGTGGACAGTGAGAGAGAGAGACAGAGAGAAAGGTCTTCCTTTTGCCGTTGGTTCACCCTCCAATGGCCACCGCGGCCAGCGCGCTGCAGCCGGCGCACCGCACTGATCCGATGGCAGGAGCCAGGAGCCAGGTGCTTTTCCTGGTCTCCCATGGGGTGCAGGGCCCAAGCACCTGGGCCATCCTCCACTGCACTCCCTGGCCACAGCAGAGGGCTGGCCTGGAAGAGGGGCAACCGGGACAGAATCCGGCGCCCCGACCTGGGACTAGAACCCGGTGTGCCGGCGCCACTAGGCGGAGGATTAGCCTAGTGAGCCGCGGCGCCGGCCTGTAACTGCCTTTCAAGGAAAAAATGAGCAAGTATTTTATGATAAATGAATCTATACACAATAAAATGTGTGATAAAATTAAAATGGTTCAGAGTGAAAATTATTTTCTTTGAAGTTGTACTAGAAAAATCTGTCTCAGTAATCCAGAAAAAAGAACAGAAAATTGAGCCACTGTCTGCAGTGCTGGCATCACCTGTGGGCACTGGTTCAATTCCCAGCTGCTCAACTTCCAGTCCAGCTCCCTGCTACTGCAACTGGGAAAGCAGCGGAGGATGGCCCAAGTCCCTGGGCCCCTGCACCCACGTGGGAGACTAGGAAGAAGCTCCTGGCTTCTGGCATTGGCCTAGCCCAACCTGGTCATGTGGTCACGTGAGGAGTGAACCAGCAGATGGAAGATCTCTCTCTCTGTAACTCTGCCTTTCAAATAAATAATAAAATCTTTATAAAAAAAAGCTAATACAATTGGATAGGAAGAACAAATGAGGTCTAAATATTTAAACAAGGAAGTGAAGCTTTCACCATGTGTAAATGATACCTGTAGAGGAATTAAGAGAATCCACTGAAACTCAGCAAAAGTCACTCAGTAAAGTGGCAGGTACTAAATAAATCAAAATCAGCAGCTTTCATGTAGTCACACAATATTTACGTGGAAGGTATAGACAAAAATGTCATTTATAACACCAACGTAAAGGAGAAAACAAATCTTCAAGAGATGTGCGGAGGCTGCATGATGAACAGTTCTGAATATTACTAAGGCAGACGAAGGAAGATGAGGACAAGTAGGCAAGAATACTGTGACTCCAGATAAGAAGGAACGATATAAATGTGTCAGCTCCGCAAATTAATCTTTGTAAGCTCTCAGTCGGTGTCTGTACACATTTCTAAATCTGTATTACAACTATATAGGCTCTTCATAGATTAAAAACACTTCCACAAGACAAGAAAACAAAACCAAGGAGCCCAGTGAAAAAAATAGGCAAAGAATACGGACTCGCACCATGCATTCAGTCACTTTGTTGTAGCCACCACGTACGGAGTACGCACATGTGCTGGGTCTTGCTCTAGGTACCAGGAACGCAGCCCTTGCCTGCAGAGCGCTCGTGTTGAGGAGTGACAGGAAGTGAGCAGGGGATATTCAGGCAGTGAGAAACGCGATAAAAGGGTAGCTGGACAGAGCGTGTTTTGTGGGGAGACAGCAGTGCGGTGCCTTTAGGTAGGATGGTGAGAGATCCTCTGAGCAGATGGCATAGGATAGGCCCCAACAGACTCCGGAGCACATCACGCAGACACCGGCCGGGGGAGCAGCAAGCTCCTGGGCCCTGGGGTGGGAGCGGGCTCCACATGTTTGCAAAAACAGAGGAGCAGACGGCGCAGCTGAGTGGATGAGGGTTGGAGGAGGAAGGCAGGCGGGGCGGAGGGAGCTGGGAGCCGGCTGTGCAGGCCCTGGCAGCCTTAGAGGATTTGGGATTTTATTCTAAGTGGTTTTGAGTGGAGAAGGAACAGAGATTCATGTTTTAAAAATATGAGGAAGGTGGAAGGAAGAATGGCAAGGGCAGGCACGTCTGCTGGCTGGAGGTGAAAAGCGGTGCCTGAGCTTAGTTTTAGCTTCCGTTTCTCTCCCGAGTGTGGCTGCACCTCCGACTAGTTCAGTCTCCTGGATTGCCTGAAAACAGAGATCCTCACTGCGCTGCCAGGGCCATGGGAAGACGCTCTTATATCTTGCTCATAGGAGAGTTTCTTGGTAAAACCAACCAGGAAAAGCACTTTGGAAATATTTTTTCTAAATTAGAAATTTACGCATACTTGGACCTAGCAAGTCTTTCCCAACGTCTATTTGCACATGTGGGATGTTAAGTATGCCTAAGGCTATGGATGGTGGGATTGTTTTAAGAGCAGAAGATTGGGAATGATCCAGGGGTCCGTCACTAGGAAGCGGTGAGGTCAACCGTGGTGCATACATGCGATGCAACGTCACACAGCAGAGGAATGAAGCTTACGAGCGGCGGATGGGACAATCCCCAGACGAACTGAGCAAAGCAAAAGGCATGACCACGTGTGCTGCCACTGACTGTCAAATATATTTCCAATGGGGCTGGCGCTGTGACACAGTGAGTTAATCTTCCGCCTGCGGCGTCAGCATCCCATATGGGTGCTGGTTCTAGCCTCAGCTGCTTCTCTTCCAATGTAGCTCTCCGCTATGGCCTGGGAAAGCAGTAGAAGATGGCCCAAGTGCATGGGAGACCTGGAAGAAGCTCCTGGCTTCGGATCAGCCCAGCTCCAGCCGTTGCAGCCATTTGGGGAGTGAACCAGCAGATGAAAGACCTATCTGCCTCTGCCTCTCTAATCCAGCCTTTCAAATACATAAATAAAATCTTTTAAAAAGCATATATTTCCAAGTGCACAGATTACTTCTGAAATACCGGGTGTCAGTGCCTCTGGGGAGGAGAGAAGGGGCACTTGGGACAAGGCTGTACATTCGCATTTTCTCCACATTCACATTCTGATTTAATACAAGTCTCAACGTGGGGAAAATAAAAAAGGAAGGTGAGGATGCCGGAGAATCTGGCAGGAGAGCTTAGTGGCCGTTGTTAAAGGACCCGGCTTCTGCAGGAGTGACCGAGTGCTCCAAGATGGACTTACTTTGCCCTTCTTCTTCTTCTTCTTCTTTTTTTTTTTTTAAATTTGGCAGGTAGTGTTATAGACAGTGAGAGAGAGACAGAGAGAAAGGTCTTCCTTCCATTGGTTCACTCCCCTAATGGCCGCCATGGCCAGCACTGCGCCACTCTGAAGCCAGGAGCCAGGTGCTTCTTCCTGGTCTCCCATGCGGGTGCAGGGCTCAAGCACTTGGGCCATCCTCCACTGCCTTCCCGGGCCACAGCAGAGAGCTGGACTGGAAGAGGAGCAACCGGGATTAGAACCCGGTGCTCATATGGGATGCTGGCACCGCAGGCGGAGGATTAACCAAGTAATCCATGACACCAGCCCCCACTTTGCCTTTCTTACATGAGAAAACATTTAATTGTGGTAGAATTCTGATCAGTTGTTTTCCATCTCACAAGAAAGCCCAAAGAGGCAAAGCGAGCAGAAAATGCCACGGGAGAAGTTTTACTGCAATCCTTCCCTCACGGCGACTAAACAGCGGACTGGACTCTTCAGGAAAGTCCTCTTATCTGCACGCTACCAGTGATCTGCCGCCAATGGCTAGAAGTGGCCCGCGGACGGGGCGGCGAACGAGCTGCCGCAGCTGCACATACAGCGCAGGCTGGAGTCCGTTCTCACTGCTTCCCACCCGCTGTCTAACTCGAGTCCCTCGTCTTTGTCTGCACCTGCAGGTCTGTTCCTGCTGTTCCTGAGTACGTCCAGGGAGTGTGGGCAAACTCCGTGGTCCTAGGAGGTGGGTGGTGCTCCCATTGCCCCAGGAGTAACACCCAGGGAATGCTGGGTGCCAGATTCTGTTTTAAGCCCTTGTATTTATTAACCTTTCAATCTTCACATCACATTGTGAGATGACACCTACTGACCACCTGGGGAAACTGAGGCACAGAGGGTCAAGAAATGTACCGAAGATCACACTGCCAGGAGTGGAGAACAAGGCTGCAACCTGGGCAGACAGGTGCCGAGCCTGCGCTTCCTCCCAGGATGCCCCTCTGCAGGGCGAGGAGCCCGCACCAACTGTGAAGGTGCAGACACTAGCCACCGAGCCTTTGGTTCACTCTGAGTCAGTCAATGTTCTATTCAGCACAGATAGAATCAGACTGCAAGAAGGTTGTCCTGAGCCTGTAACCACCACCACCTAAAACCGAACTCACCAGGAATGAGCAGGCAGGAGGCGGAGCTGCCTCTGTGAAACCCTAGTCCCAAGAACACCTTTTCTAAGAAAAGCACGGAGGTGTTGGTAACCGGTGAAAAGTGCTGAACAAGAAATTATTTCCTAGGAAAGCAAAAAATGTCAGCATTTGTTTATTTTCGTCTATGTGAAAGGCAGGGAGAGAGGGGGCAAGAGGGCGACAGAAAGGAAGAATCTTCCATCGGCTGGTTCACTCTCCAAACGCCTGCACTACCCAGGGCTAGGCTGAAGCCAGCAGGCGGGAACTCCGCCTGGGTCTCCCACGAGGGTGGCAGGGCCAGCCACGGGGTCATTCCCTCCTGCCTCTCAGGGCGCACCCGCAGGAAGCTGGATCGGGAGCAGAGTAGCCAGGTTGCAAACCCAGACACTTCGATACGGGCTTCCTAACCCGGATCTGGCTGAACCCTCTGTGCCGCAGCACCTGCCCCAGCAAAGAACTTCTTTAGCATTTCTTCAGCAGCGGTCAAGGCAAAGCACCCTCCCTCCTCCTCGGGGAGGTTCTTGGCACTACTGGGTCCCATCCATCGTTTCACTCTGCCCCGGGCCGGTTCCCAGCTCACTCTCAGTGTCCAGGCGGGTTGGTGGAGGTGAACTGGATAGCCACGCAGGGAGGGCTCTGCATACGCGGCTCTGAACCCAGCCACAGCCCGTCCTGGGTGGAGCTCCTCGGGTGGGGCTGCTGCCCTGGCGCTGCGTTCCCGGGCTTGGCTGAGTCCAGCAGCCTTTCTGGTTAATCCGTGCTGTCCTCCTTATCGGCCGGCCTCCTGTGAGGCTCCCTAGTGGCAAACAGCCCTCGTGGGCCTGATCACACTTGGGTGAGCAGACAGAAGCTGAACCGACTTAGAGGCGGCACGGGGAGTGGACCCCAGGTGCCCACAAAGCTGTGGCCTTATCAGAACGCCACTAGAGGGTGGGCATCGTGGCGAAGTGGGAAAAGCCACTGTGCTAGACGCCTGCATCCCACATTGTTGTACCTGGTCTGCGTCCCGGCTCTGCTTTTTTTTTTTTTTTTTTTTGACAGGCAGAGTAGACAGTGAGAGAGAGACAGAGAGAAAGGTCTTCCTTTGCCGTTGGTTCACCCTCCAATGGCCGCTGCGGCTGGTGCGCTGCGGCCGGCGCATCATGCTGATCCGATGGCAGGAGCCAGGTGCTTCTCCTGGTCTCCCATGGGGTGCAGGGCCCAAGCACTTGGGCCATCCTCCACTGCACTCCCTGGCCACAGCAGAGAGCTGGCCTGGAAGAGGGGCAACCGGGACAGAATCCGGCGCCCCGACCGGGACTAGAACCCGGTGTGCCAGCGCTGCAGGTGGAGGATTAGCCTAGTGAGCCACGGCGCCAGCCCTGGCTCTGCTTCTAACCCTGGGAGGCAGCAGCAAGGATGGGAGAGACCTGGACGGAGTTCCCCGCTCCTGGCTGCAGTCAGGCTGTGGTGGGCATTCGGAGAGTGAACCAGCAGTGGAAAATCCGTGTCTCCCTCTCTCTGCCAATGAATGAATGAATGAACAAATCTTAAAGAAAAACAAGCGCTTGTTCCTCTGAGTACTTCTCGCTCTCATGTGGCTGGCCCCGGTGGGAGTCCTCACCTGTGTAATTCCCATACAGGTTAGGCAGGAGGCTGTGCCTGGCCCAGGGGTAGAAATCTTCCAGAAGCTTGATTTCTGAGAAGCGGTGAGAAAAGCTCTTGCGGACGGCCTGATGGAGGTGAAATCGGTTGGAATTCTTCCCCGAGTAGACTGTGCTCAGCAGTAGGCCAAGGAAGAGGATTTGCACTGGTTCAGGACAGGGAAACGCAACGGAACGTGGGTGGTGAGCTCACCTCTAACCTTTGTCTCCATTCTCCCTGAGCCCACAGAGTCTTGCAGCTCAAAAACAGCCAAAACTTGGCAATTTCATGGGCAGGGTTCAAAAAGTTCACAAAAAATATGTGTTCCCTTTAATTCCATTTCCCACAAGCTTCTCTCGAGCTCCCTTGTCTATATTATTCCTTCCCAGAATTTTTCTGCCACTAATCAAAACTTTAAATAAGATACTTCTCTGTCTCTCTCTCGTGCCACTTCCTTTCAGATAAAATCTTCCAAAAAATTACACAAATTGATGCCCCCCCCCAAAAAAAATTGTGATTTATTTTTTTGACAGGCAGAGTGGACAGTGAGAGAGAAAGACAGAGAGAAAGGTCTTCCTTTTTGCTGTTGGTTCACCCTCTAATGGCCACCGTGGCTGGCGTGCTGCGGCCGGCGCACGGCGCTGATCCGATGGCAGGAGCCAGGTACTTCTCCTGGTCTCCCCTGGGGTGCAGGGCCCAAGCACTTGGGCCATCCTCCACTGCACTCCCTGGCCACAGCAGAGAGCTGGCCTGGAAGAGGCGCAACTGGGACAGAATCCGGTGCCCTGACCAGGACTAGAACCCGGTGTGCTGGCGCCGCAAGGTGGAGGATTAGCCTAGTGAGCCGCGGCGCCGGCCATGTGCTTTAGTTCTTAAAACCGAGGGCTCTGGCTCCCTTGCTGTCTCACCTGACTGCGCTCACAAGAGGAAAAGTCACTACAGAACCAGAAGTTGTCACCTCAGGGCCAGGGGATCCCGCACCGCACCGGAGGCGCTGAGACCCAGCACTGACAGCCACTGTTGCCAGTCTTTTCATTTGCCCTCCACCCCTCGAGGCACGTCCACCAAGTACTGTCACCGCTTCTGCAGGCCGAGAAAGGGACTCAGGCACGCAAAGAAATCTGGACGCCAAGTTCAGGATTCTGCGTGCCACACACCGCCCTGCTCACGGGACACTGATGTATCCTTCTCTCCCCTTTCCACCCCCTCCCCGGAAAACGTGGGCCACACGGCCCGCAGCCGCTGCCCCTCCATACCCACGATGTCCCCGGTCAGCTTGAAGAGCTTCTTTCCCTTCACAGCTCCCGCGGGGGGCGCGGCCGCGCTGTGTGTGGCTGGGGCTCTGTAGATGGGGTTGTTCTGATCTCTCGAACCAGGTGGCGAGGGAGAACATTTCGCTGTCAAAAAGCCAAATGCAGTTCACAGAGACGTTACGTTTCGTTAGGTGGTCATTCACCAAAGCTTCCTGACTGTCTCCTGGGAGCACGTTGGAAGAAACACTGAAGAAACCAAGAACAAAGTTACTTCAGGGCCGCCCCTCACACTCGGCTGAAGGACTTGTTTTCAAAACACGTGCACCCGCCGGGACCAGCTTTACACACACAGCAAAAGTGAGTTACGAGAAAAACGAAAACGGAAATGCACAATCTAAGCCCCATTTTGAAAACTAGGTTCCACAGGCATGAAATTAGTCTGTCAGATTATCCCAAAGTCTTCGAGATGCTTCCTCTCAGTTTCCGGATGTACCCTGCACTAGACAGACAGCGCCAGCCAGGGACCGCGCAGTGGGCGGGGGCCTGCGGCAGCACTTCTCAAACTTAACGTTTGTCACCTGGGGATTTCTGTTGCGTGTGGATTCTGGGCTGAGACACACGATTCTGCATTTCTGGTAACTCCAGGGGATAATTCCTATGTGCATTTTGAAAAAAAAACTATGCATGTATTTCAAATTTTTATTTGCACAGAAATAAAGTTACCCCTTAATTCTATCTTTCTAGAACCTCGTGAAGCCTGCTGGTTAGTAACCGCCCACCTGTGGCCCATTTCATCCCCACTCCATGCTTCATCCCCTGCTTCCTCTGAGGGGCCCTTTCCTTTTTATCCTAACTTAAAATACAAATATTTTTTGCTTTTTAAAATTTTTTCATCTTATTTGAAAGAGAGATCAAGAGAGCAAGGACTCTTCTATCCAGGATTCACTCTCCAAATGCCTGCAACAATCAAGGCTGGGCCAGGCCAGGCTGAAACCAGGAGCCTGAACTCAACCTGGATCTCCTATGCGGGTGGCAGGGGCCCAGGTACCTGAGCCATCACTGCTTTCTCCCAGGGCTTTAGCAGGGGGCTGGAATCAGAGGAGGAGCCAGGCTGTTTGGCATGGGATTTAACTGTTGTGCCAAATATCCGCCACTACTTTGTTTGAAATGCACAGAGACAAAGAGAGGGGGAGAGATGGAGACAGAGACACACAGATGTAAGCATCCCCTGGTTCACTCCTCAGGTGCTCACAATAGCAGAGGCTGGGCCAGGCTGAAGCCAGGAGCTGGAGCTCAAGCTCATGGGTGGCAGGGAACCATGCACTTGAGCCATCACCTGCTGCGTCTACGGATGCACATTAGTGGGAAGCTGGAACTGGGCGCAGTGCTGGGACTCAAACCCAGGCTCTCTCACACGGGATGTAGACATTCTAAGTGGCACCTGAACTGCTGTTCCAAACCTCCACCCCTCAGTGGATTTCTATTTCATACGTAATTATATAGGGGATATTGATATGCATCTCTAGTCAAGATACACATTATTTTACAGGATTAAAACACCTACGTGGGGCTGCTGTTTGGTCCAGCAGTTCAGATGCCTGCCTCAGCGTACCTGGGTCTGAGTCCTGGCTCCACTCCAGACTCCAGCTTCCTGCTAAGGTGCACCCTGGGAGGCAGTGGCGAGAACTCAACTGGTTGGGTTCCTGCCACCCATGCAAGGGCCCAGAAATGAGTTCCTGGCTCCCAGTCTTCGCTTCCTAGCCACTGCGGGCATTTGGGGGAGTGAACCAGCAGAAGGGGACGTGTGCCCTCTGTAACTCTCAAGTAGAAAAATTAAAATGATTGTACTAATTTTTCTGCCACTTGTTTTTTGGCCCAACACTGTGCTAGTGAGGTTCAAAGGTTCTATGAGTAGCTCTAGTTGGTTGTGTGTAGGTCAGACTCCCTTAGGCTTGGGAGAAGAGATGAGTTTAGGATTACTCTGCCATGTTCAGAGGGTGGTAATGGCGCTGGTGGCGATGAGGGAGCACCTTCACGACGAGGATTTGTGAGGTGTGTCAACACTCCATTCTAACCCGAGACACCTGCAGGCATCTGGAGCCCTAGAACGGAACCCAGGGCTCAGCAGAGAGATGCAGAAGGCACTCCAGACACGGGGGAGGGCTGGAGAATGGAGAGGAAGAGGGGGTGTAGGAAGGACCACTGATCAGCCTTGGGTGGAGGAGCAGAGACAGGCTCTCTGAGCAGATAAAGGCACCGAGTCAGGCTGGATGCCACCTGGTGATCGGCTCTTGGCAGAAGCGCAGACAGAATGACGAGACTTACCAGCGAGCGCCAGGATCCTCCTCGTCTGTTGTTCCCTCTCTCTGCTGAGCCATGGTATCCTCTTCATGAGCAGCGAGAGCATGAAGGTGAGGACGACCACCTGCACGGGAAAGTCACGGGACAGCCGCGTGAGCCCCAGCAGACCTACGAGACGGTGACGGTGCTGATTAACAGCGAACTTCAATTATGTGGCCTTTGTTTGTATGGAAAAACTGAATGAACTGTAAAGCTATCTCATCGCACAGGGATGTGGAAGTCTAAGTAATGTTAATGTCAATACCTTGCCTGCGGTTCTTTTTTTTTTAATATTTATTTTTTATTTGAAAGGCAGAGTTACAGATAAAAAGAGGGAGAAACAGAGACAGAGGGAGACCTTTCATTGGCTGGTTTGCTCCCCAAAGGGCCACAACAGCCAGGGCTGTGCCAGGAGCCTGGAGCTTCATCCAGGTCTCCCACAGGGGTGCAGGTGCCCAGGAACTTGGGCCATTTCCCCTGCTTTCCCAGGTGCATTAGCAGGGAACTGGATCAGAAGTGGAGCAGCCAGGTCTCCAACTGGCCCCCTTACACGATGCTAGAATTGCAGGCAGCTTTGCTTGCTACACCACAAAGCCAGCCCTTTGCCTATAGTTCTTAATCTGGATGATTGGAAAAAGCATAAGAGACTCATGTTGATTTAGGTTCAGTAATCTATCTTTGGAAGACATCTGATAGATAGACCTGTACTTATTTATTTATTTTAAATATTTTATTTATTTTGAGAGGTAGAGTTGCAGACAGAGAGAGGCAGAGGTCTTCTATCCTCTGGTTCACTTCCCTAATGGCTCCAGTGGCCAGAGCTGGGCCAATCTGAAGCCAAGAGCTCCTTCTGGGTCTCACACATGGGAGCATGGGCACAAGCACTCGGGCCATCTTCCACTGCTTTCCCAGGCCATAGCAGAGAACTGGATTGGAAGAGGAGCACCTGGGACTCGAACCGGCGCCCATATGGGATGCTGGTGTCACAGGCGGGGTGTCACTAGGCCACAGCGCCAGCTTCTATTATTTTAAAATTTATTAATTTTAAAAAGGAGAGAGAGGGACAGGAAGGGAGAGAAGGGAGGGAGAGAGAGAAAGCATTCTCTAGATCCTTGCAATAGCCAGGGCTGGGCCAGGATAAAGCCAGGAAGCTGGAACTCCAGTAGTTGACAAGGACCTAATGACTTGAGCTATCACCTACTGCCTCCCATAGTGCGTATTAGCAGGAAGCCAGATCAGAAGACTTGAACTATGCCTTCCAGTGTGGGATGTAGGCATCCCAAGTAGCACCTCTCTTTCTCGGTTTACTTGAGAGGCAGAGTTACAGAGAGAGGGAGAGACAAAGAGGTTTTCCATCCTCTGGTTCACTCTCTCAATGCCTGCAATGGCCCGAACTGGGCCGATCTGAAGCCAGGAGCCAGGAGCTTCTTCTGGGTCTCCTACATGGGTGCAGGGGCCCAAGCACTTGGGCCACCTTCGGCTGCTTTTCCAAGCCATAAGCAGAGAGTTGGGTCATAAGAGGAACTAGCGCTCATATGGGATGCTTGCACTGCAGGCACAGGCTAAGCCCACTACGCCACAGCACCAGCCCCAGTGCTTGACTTTTTTGAAGTGTCAAGATCTCAAGGTTTGGCCGGCGCCACGGCTCACTAGGCTAATCCTCCGCCTCTGGCGCTGGCACCCCAGGTTTTAGTCCTGGCTGGGGCACCGGATTCTGTCCCAGTTGCTCCTCTTCTAGTCTAGCTCCCTGCTGTGGCCTGGGAGGGCAGTGGAGGGTGGCCCAAGTGCTTGGGCCCTGCACCCCATGGGAGACCAGGAGAAGCACCTGGCTCCTGGCTTTGGATCCGCGTGGCATGCCGGCCATAGCGGCCATTTGGGGGGTGAACCAACGGAAGGAAGACCTTTTTCTCTGTCTCTCTAACTCTGCCTGTCCAAAAAAAAAAAAAAAAAAAAGAAAGAAAAAGAAAAAGAAACAAAAACCAAACAAAAAAGATCTCAAGGTTTATCAGAAGTCATCGAAGTTTAGAGTTGCGCGAGACCTCAAGTATCTGTAGGGGAGACAGTATCTCTTACCCTCAGATTTCCATGCAAGAAGGAAAGTTCTATCCCAGTGCTCAGGAAGGGTGGGGGTGATATTTCGACTGCTGCATTTCCCTCTCCCCATTATCCCGCTAGCAAGAATCCTGGCAGGTGATCTGGCCACCTGCCGTCTCCAGGACCTGCTTGCCCGCAGCGTGGTCCATTCTGTCCTGGGCCTCCCACGGTGGGCGCAGTGAGCCAGGGTCATGCTCAGTGCCTACACCGGGGTTTGCAGCCCTTCTCTCTGCCCCCACTTTTGGAATGGGATGCATTTGAGACTGCAGCATTCCGGGCGGCTGCTCTGCGGAACTCACAGCGCCCTCTAGTGGATCATCCTCAGAATTAGACCTGACTGCAGCTCCAACCAAATGCTCCATTGAGTGACGTCAGCATCTAAGCCAATACTTTGGTTTCCATTTCTTCTGTACCTATTTTTATACTTTTCTCCAAACTTTTTCTAAACTGAATACATTTATCATAAAAGTCGTGAACAAGGGAAAAAAATCAAACTAGAAATATAGTATACTCTCACCATAGGTTTTTTTTTTTTAAAGCCTTAAAATTTAGGGCCCATCCCATGACCTTAGTTAGCATTCCTGGAACAGCTTTTGACATCATTTGGTTTTCTGAAACACTGTCAGCAGTTGTTCCTTATTCCATGATCTGGTTGTCTCCCCTCAGCCAGTGTCTGAACGCTGGGTATTTGAGTTGCTGCAATTCTCACTCCTGATTGTCCTCAGGGTACCTCTTTAGAAATAACATTTCTCCAGTGGGAGGAGGAGGACCTTGAAGGCTTCTGATATTTATTGTCAGATTTTCTGCACTAGCAGAGTATCCGTTTCCTTCACATCACCCTGTATTGACGCTGTGTCACTGTGTGTTTCTAACCCCTCCCCCCCAACCTTTAAAAATTTTTTTGAAAGAGTCACAGAGAAGGGGAAGAGCCAGACAGGTCTTCCATCCACCGGTTCACTCCCCATATGGCCTCAACGACCAGGGCTGGGTCAGGCTGTAGCCAGGAGCCAGAACTCCTCCCAGGTCTCCCACATGGGTGCAGGGGCCCAGGCACTTGGGCCGTCATTCACTGCCTTTCCAGGTGCGTGAGCAGGGAGCTGGAAGGGAAGTGGAGCAGCCGGGACTTGAACTGGTGCCGCCTTGGGATGCCGCACTGCAGATGGCAGCCTTACACACTGCTACGGTGCCAGCCCCGAGACTTCCTTCTTTCACTACGATGCGTGCCTGAGATTCACCCGTGTAGTTACTTGGATCTCAGTTCGTTCTTGTTTTGTTACCGAGTTGCAGTCCAGGGTGTGGCTGTTCCTTCGGCAGCTGGAGGGCACAGGGTTGTCTCTGACAAGCATGAGTCCCCCACCAGGCCCCGCAGGGTCTCAGGGTCGTCAGTGCTCTGCCCTTCCTGCAGGGGTGCAGGGTCCCTCCTTGTGATTTGGTGAGAATTTCCCTAAGGGCAGGGGCTCAACGTCATCTCTCCATGTGCTCCCCCTCATTTTTTTTTTTCTGTTGTGAGTGTGGAGCGGCCTTGTTTTTTTTTTTTTTTTAAATTTGTTTATTTATTTGAAAGTCAGAATATACAAAGAGATAAGGAGAGGCAGAGAGGGAGAGAGAGAGAGTCTTCCATCCACAGGTTCACTCCCCAGTTGGCTACAACAGCCGGAGCTGGGCCAATTCAAAGCCAGGAGCTAGGAGCTACTTCAGGTCTCCCACATGGGTGCAGGGACCCAAGCACTTGGGCCATCTTCCACTGCTTTCCCAGGCCATAGCAGAGAGCTGGATGGGAAGTGGAGCAGCCGGGACTCAAACCAGCACCCATATGGGATGTCGGCACTGCAGGCAGCGGCTTAACCTGCTACGCCACAACTCTGGCCCCGGAGTGTCCTTTGTATATTGAGGATGCAAATGACTCATTGATATTTTTCCTTGCTAGGGGCTGGCGTTGTGTTCTAGTGGGTAACGCTGTAGCCTGTGATGCTGGCATCCCATAGGGGTGCTGGTTTGAGTCCCGACTGCTCTACTTCTAATCCAGCTTCCTGCTAATGAGCCTGGGAAAAGCAATCGAGGATGGCCCAAGTCCTGGGGCCCCTGAACCCACGTGGGAGATGCAGATGAAGCTCCTGACTCCTGGCTTCAGCCTGGCCCAGCCTTGTCTGTTGTGGCCATTTGGGGAGTGAACCCACACACTTTCTCTCCCTCCCTCTCTGTATAATCCTGCCTTTCAAACAAATAAGCAGAATTAAAAAAAAAAAAACTGTTTAACAAAATGATAAAGATTTTTCTCCTGTTATGTTCTGAGTTTTATAGTTTTACATTAGTTACGAGTCAATTTTTTGCTTGATACTTTCCTATTAAAATTTTCAAACACAGAAAAATTGGAAGATTCACGTGTTAAAAACATTTAGCCACACTTGTTTTTTTTTTTCCCTTGAACATTTAAAATAAGAGACACGAGGAAGCAGTCCTCCGCAGGGACAGCGCCGTGACAGCCCACACATGACTGCAGAAGGCACAAACTGTGCCAAGGGGTCTAGACAACCGATAGGGAAAAACGCGTTTGTTCTCGGACACAGATTTTTGCCAAAACAGTAACAGCTGCTATTGTTGGTTATAAATGTGTAAGAAAAAAATGAAATTCACAAGCATTTCGGTCCACGGTAATTTAAAACAGTAGAAACATAGGAGCTCCAGTGGCTTCTTTCTGAAAAGGTTGCCCCGAGCGGTCTGAGCCGCGTGCTGCCTCCGGCCACGTGGGGTCATCAGCTTCCCGGGGGCTGCACGCTGCCCCCCTCACCGCCCAGCTGCTTGCGGCTTCCTCCCACACAGGCTTTCCTACGCGCTGCACTGGCGCAGGTCAGGTGGGCGCCGCGGGCAAGGGAGGGCTGCCGCCCACCCCACCCCCAGCTGTTTCTTCTGCATCTCGGGTTGCTTTCTTCTCAGATTTCATTTCCAGGACACTTCTCAGTTTTTCGTTGCACTTTGATCTTTCTTGGCCAGCGCAGTTATCTGTTTTTTTGTTTGTTTTTGGAAAATGCCACAGGAGTTTATCCCTGGGAGATGAGACAATGTAACCATGCACTTTGCTGTCTGCACATAAACTGGCCGACAGCCGGGTGGTTGCTTGGTGCAGTGGGGGATACACGCATCCCATACCCAAGTGTCCGGGGTCCAGTCCGGCTCTGCGCCTCATCCAGCTGCCCGGTGCTGTGCACCCTGGGAGAGGCTGCTCACCTGGCAGGTGGATGGATTCCTGCCATTGGTGAGGGGGACCCCAGTGGAGTTCCTGGCTCCCAGTTTTGGCCTGGCCCAGCCCCAGCTGTTGCAAGACATTTAAGGGGGTAAACCAGGGGATGGAAGATCTTTCTGTGTCCGTCTGTCTTTCAAGTAAATAAAATGTTTAAAGAGTAATTTAAGACTGGCTAGCAGGTGAGTGTCCACCTGCAGACTTGGAGTAGCAGCAGGGCTGGTCACTCATCGAGATGCACACCTGTTATTTATGGGGACCCTCAGGGTTAACGTGGCACAGCAGGCGGGCTCCAACTGCACTGCTGGGGAACGGGTGTTGTTTAACTCAGCCGCAGGGACCGAGAGCCCTGCCACAGAGCACAGCAAGGACTTCGCACGTTCAGCCATGCGGCGGGACATTCTCATACCATCAGCAGACTTTAGGACAGTGTCAAAAACTTCCTAGTAGAATTTCCCATCCACGGGTTTGCTCCCCCAACGCCTACAACAGCCAGGGCCAGGCAGGCCAAAACCGGGAGTCCAGAACTTCATCTGGGCCTTCTGTGTCGATGGCAGGGGCCAGGCACCTGAGTCATCCTCTGCTGCCTCCCAGAATGCATCAGCAGGAAGCTAGACAGGAAGCAGAGGAGCTGGGACTTGAACCCAGGCACTCTGATAAAGGCAGTGGGCACCCCAACACATGGCCTAACCTCCTGTTTCACAGCTTTCTGCCCCCCTTTTTTATTTTAAGCTGTTCTGCTATTCTCCAGTCCTGTTCTGCTACACTTCTACTGAAGTTCTTGCGATACTCTACGACACACACATCCCTAACAAACGTCACTCTGCCTATTTCTCTGTCACTCTGTCAAAGCCACGAGGCTCCCTGGACTGGCACCCAGGGGTTCAGTGTCAACATTTCTCACGCACCTTTATGGGCTGGCTGATGAAGATGTTCTGAAGCACCGACAATACCATGGAAACGAGCCAGCTGGTGGCTTGGTCTGTGTTCAAGTCCAAGCTGTAAAGTGCGGTGAAAAAGGCAGACGCCAGGCTGATGGCGCCCAGAAGGATCCAGCAGGTGAAAGGTAACCATCTGTGCCAGCCGTTTGCCAGGGGCTTCCTCCACTCCCCTGGGCTCAGGAGGGGGAAACACGTCACCTCCCTGCAGAACGAAAGCTGAGGGAATGAGCTCCTGCCCGGCAGCTGGGAGAGGGTCGGGCGGGCCACAGGTGACAAGGACAGCCCGGGCGGCACGTCACCTGGATGGCTCCTGCTCCGTGGGGAGAACACATGTCTGCAAGAGTTCCTGGAGCTCGTGAAGCCGGCTGGCTGCGTCTGCGAAGTCCCAAGGATGGGGAACCGGGGAGAGGCTCAGCGCGCCCAGGTCAGACTCCAGCCTCCGTGCCACTCCGAGCAGGTAACAGCACAAATGACGCTGGCTTTCAGGAGCCACTGAAAACATGTTTCGGGTTAACAGACAGCCATTGGTTATTAGTGGCAGAGCTGAGCAAGCCGTCAGCGTTAAGGCTCAATTTCCCACTTCTGATGGCGACTGGACCCAACTCCGACAGAAGTGTCCCCTTTCCCGAGGGCCCGGTGCACCGGCAGCAACTGGAAAATCCTAAACTTGGATCTCCAGACTTGGAGAACTTCACTGAGCATTTTCACCAGAACCACAGTACGTGCAACCTAAGTGTCGGGGGCCCAAGCCGTATTTAAGATTCCGTGAACTCTCACCCCCCCACCATCCCATGAACCCAGGAGAGCTGCAAGCCCCAACAGCCTCCAGCCAGGCGGGCGGAACGGGGGTCTGACATGGGGAGTACGTCTGTGGGGTTTGCACCGGGTGGACGGTCTAGAAGCCACCAGAGGGTCCAAGCTGTCAGCTCTGGACTCGGGGCTTAAGGCAATTCAGACAAGGAGCGGGCGTCCTGCGGTGGGCTCTGCCGGAGGGGAGAACGAGTCTGAAAGCGCGAGACGTGCAGTGGAGGGACAGGTGGGCGACAGCCTGGTTCCGAAAACCACCGAGTTTACCCCTCACGCGGGGAGGTCCGGGCTGCTGGCGGCAGCCTCCTTCCTCTATGTGAGCACACACGAGGCTGCATAAAAGCTTCACCAGCTGGCCAAGGTCGCAGGAACTCCCTGAAGGCTGCTCACACTCGGAGAGCAGGCACGAGCGTCTCCTAAGCAGAAATCCCACGGTCTCCTGTAACTCCTGCACAGAGAACCCGGGTGAGAACGGTCAGTGTGTTCTATCCCACCGCGGGGCGTGGGCCGTGGCCCAGTGCCCAGTCTCCTGTAACTCCTGCACAGAGAGCCCGGGTGAGAACGGTCAGTGTGTTCTATCCCACCGCGGGGCGTGGGCCGTGGCCCAGTGCCCAGTCTCCTGTAACTCCTGCACAGAGAACCCGGGTGAGAACGGTCAGTGTGTTCTATCCCACCGCGGGGCGTGGGCCGTGGCCCAGTGTAAGGAGCCTCAGGGTTTCATTTCTGCTCTATTTTTTTTTCCCCCAGAAAGCAGTCATCTCCCAGTAGCTTCAGAATCTGTTTTCTGAGAGATTACAGAATGAAAGAAGAAGGGACAGCTTGATCAAACATCAAAAGCTAAACCTACTCCAGGTCAGTCTACACTGCACTCGCATCCAGCCCTCAGAACCCTTCCTGGCCAAGAGTGATAGCTGGAGGCCCGGCTGAACACGCCCAGGGGCAGGGGGCAGGGCGAAGGCCCTGAGACTCACAGGGCCCCACGGTTCCCCAGGACCCCCCTTTCCATTTCCATCCCACAGTGGGTAGGGATGCAGGTGACGTGCTTGGGCCACCTGACATCAAACTTACCTCAAGTACCTTCGCGCGCGAGAGGGGCGCAACAGGTGCATCCGAGAGGCTGGAAGCCTGGGTCGGGGGAAAGGGAGGCTGGGTCTCCGGGGGCTGAGCCGCTGGGAAGAGCCGCGCGATGACAAGGTTGATGGGGAAAAGGATGACAGCTGTCTGGATGCTGACGTGCAGCTCGGACCAGGTCACGGCCAACAGACCCACTGAAAGCAAAGCATCCTGTCGGCCTCTGCCCCCCACCGCAAAAGCTGTCCCCCGGGTGTGATCACTCAGGGCTTAGTGGAAGATGAGGTTACTGGGCAGACCTTAATGTGTTCCTAAGACTGCTTTAAAGAAAAAATGAATGAACAGTGAGAGAATTCCAGTATTAGGGGAGCAGAGGAAAAAGGCAGGCACACCCCGGCTCTGTCGCAAACTGTGGGAGGAGTGTGGAGAGAGGCCAAGGACTTGGCGCCAACACGGCACCCATCACGGTGCACGTGTGCCTGGTACCTGTCACAGTACATGAGTGCATGGCACCCATCATGGTGCACGCGTACCTGCCGCCCGTCATGGTGCACATGTGCCTGGTACCTGTCACAGTACATGCGTACCTGCTGCCCATCACAGTGCACACATACCTGGGGCCCATCACGGTGCATGCATATCTGGCACCTGTCATGGTGCATGCGTGCCTGTCACAGTGCATGCACGCCTGGCACCCATCAGGTCATGGTGCACGCGTACCTGGTGCCCATCACAGTGCACGCATATCTGGCACCTGTCATGGTGCATGTGTGCCTGGCACCCGTCATGGTCCACGCATACCTGGCGCCCATCACGGTGCACGCGTACCTGGCGCCCATCACGGTGCATGTGTACCTGGCGCCCATCACGGTGCACGCGTACCTGGCACCTGTCACAGTGCATGTGCACCTGGCACCCATCAGGTCACGGTGCACGCGTACCTGGCGCCCATCAGGTCACGGTGCACGCGTACCTGGCGCCCATCAGGTCACGGTGCACGCGTACCTGGCGCCCATCAGGTCATGGTGCATGCGTACCTGGCGCCCATCAGGTCACGGTGCATGCGTACCTGGCGCCCATCACGGTGCACGCGTACCTGGCGCCCATCACGGTGCACGCGTACCTGGCGCCCGTCGCCCGGCGGAGCCGCCCGCCTTCCAGAACATGACGTTGATGAGCATGTTGCAGAGCAGCAGTGTCGCGCAGCAGCTGAGCCGCTGCACCCTCGTGAACCGGTTCCAGGGATGCCGAGTTGCAACCGAGAGCCACAGGTAATCCTGGGTGAAGTTCTCCACGATCATGCAGGAAAACAGGTGTCTGCAGAGAGGAACCCGAGGAGCAGAGGCAGGGATTTCACTGTGGTCTGCCCCACAGTGCAGAGACTGCTGGGATTTTAGGAAGCAAGGCTTCTGAGGACAAGGAGAGTTTATACTGTGTGGTTTAGAACTGTTGCTTTAGCTTTATAAGAGTTAGACGTTTTTAATATTTTTAAAATTTATTTGAAAGGCAGACACAGAGGGGAAAGGAGGGAGACAGGGAAACAGGGAGGCGGAGACAAAGAGAGAAATTTTCCATCCATTGTTTCACTCCTTAAAATGCCTGCGTCGCCACGGTTGGGTCAGGCTGAAACCAAGAGCTCCAAACTCAGTCCAGGTTGCACACCTTAGGGGCAGGGACCCAACTCCTTAGGCCGTCACCTGCTGCATCCTAGGGTATGCGTCAGCCCAGGCTAGAATTGGGAGTGAAGCCAGGGACTCAAACTCTGGCACTCTGAGATGGGGGTGGGAGTCCCACATGCCCTCCTCAGGTCGGTAGACTCATACTTTGCACACCTTCTTGTCTCCAAATGTGGATGAATTTATAAATGACATAAAAATAAATCTGCGAAAGAGAAGTGGGATGAGAGATGAGGCAGGAGCCTGCAGGATTACTGAGCTCCAGGCCTGCAAGGGCGCAGCACGCAGGCGGAGGGTGCTCTCGTAGCCTAACAGGAACCAGAAGTGTCCCCAGGTTGGGGAGGGGGAGGGACGAAGCAACTCTCACTGCTAACAGCCAGGGCTGAAGCTGGAGCTCATGAAAGGATACTACCGAAACCACCTGCTGCTGGATCCCACATACATAGGTGAGGAGGTGGGGCTAAGGACAGCGTCATGATCAGGAATTTTTTAAAGAGAGATTTGTGTGTGTACATAAGTATGTATGTATGTATTTGGATGGTGGAGCACCAGACTCACACACACACACACACACACGCACACGCACACGCACACATCTTTCATCCCCAGATGGCCCGAACAGCCAGGGTTGGGCCAGGCTGAAAGCAGGAGCCAGGAGCTCCGGCCTGGTCTCCCGCCTGGGTGGCAGGGGCCCAGGTTCTTTGGGCCATGCTCTGCTGCCTTCCCAGGCATGTTGACAGGAAGCTGCGCGGGAAGTGGAGCAGCCAGGACTCAGAACGGCATTCTCAGGACTTGAACCAGGACTCTGACAGGGGCTGCTGGTATCGCAAATGGGGGCTTAACCTGCGGCACCACAACCTCAGCCTCACGACCAGGAACTGAACACAGAGTTCCACTGGCTCAGAACAAGATCTGCAGTAGCTCTGGTTCATGTATTTCATTGAGAAAGAGGAACTCCCAAATTCTGCGGTGTAAAACCCAGTTCTAGACTGGAGATGTGAAGAGCTGTTTGGAGACCAGAGCAAAACTAGTCAGGGATGGTGTACGTGTGTGTGTGTGTGTGTGTGTGTGGACAGAAAGTCAGAGTGTGAATACACCAACCAGCCAATCATTCAGTAAAGAAATAAATTTTATGGGACAATATGACAAATACTTCAAAATAAGTATTTCAAGTTGCTCAAAGATATGAGAGTTTTTAAAAAGTTTATGGAAAATATGCATTATGGAAAAATTATGCATGAATTTCCATTTTTTTTTGCCCTAGAATAAGCTTATCCTTTTGCTCTACTTCCCATGATTTTTGAAGTATGCTTATATAAGGAAAAGGATAATATTCAGTTAAGAATAAAAAATTATGAAAAGACAAAATCAATTAGAAATCTTGAACTAAAATAATGTGGTCATCAAGACAAAAAAATAGGATATATGGAGATGAGTGCAGAGAAAAATCAGTGAACTGAAATACAGTATTAAACATAAGACCTCAGATTTCCCCTGAGGAAGCTGAGATGGATTTACTAGACAAAGACTTTAAGTTAACTATCCTAAAAATGTTGAAAAAATTAGATAAAATTTTATCTAAAAAACTAAAGAAAAGCAAATGAGAATGGTATCTCACCAGATACTGGAGAGTAATAAACAGACAAAAGTTACTATTATTAGGAAGAACCACCACCACCAACATCACCGAATAAAAACTCTGGGGTTGACAAGTAAGGTGAAAACACAGTTCACTGGAAGTTTCAACAGCAGCTTGGGACAAGCAGAAGCAATTGGCAGACTTGAAGACAGTTCAGAGATCATCCAGTCTGAGGAACAGAAAGAAAGAAAGAAAAAGGGATGAGGACAAACGAATGGAGGAAGTGGGCATTTAGCCTGGGAGTGCAGGCACCTGCGTCCCAAATCCAGGTGCCCAGGGCTGGTTCCCAGCTCCCTTTCCTGACTCCAGCCGCCTGCTCATGTAGACCCTGGGATGCAGCAGTAACCGTGCTCCTGCCTCCCCTGGGGGAAGCCTGACCCACATGTCCATCTCTGTACCTGGCCCAGCCCCAGGTGTTCAGGCATCTGGGGGAGTGAACCAGCAGATGGAGGCGCTCTTTCTGTCTATCTACCTTTTTGTGTCTCTGCCTCTCAAACATATACATAATATGAAAAAAATAAAAATTAGTAGAGATTCAGATACCTGTAGAATGTAATCAAATATACTGGCAGAAACACAATGCGAGTTTCAGAAAGAGGTAAGATAAACAGGCAGGAAGATTTGAAGCAACAATGATTGCAAATTTCCCAGATTTGATGAAAGACATTAATCCACATATCCAGAAGCTTAAACACTCCAAGCAGGATAAGCTCAAACAGATCCACTGCAGACGGTATACATCATAACCAACCTGCTGAAAGCCAGAGCAAGGAGACTACCAAAAGCAACAAGAAGCACTCCTGGCCGGCGCCGCGGCTCAATAGGCTAATCCTCCACCTAGCGGCGCTGGCACACCAGGTTCTAGTCCCAGTTGGGGCACCGGATTCTGTCCCAGATGCCCCTCTTCCAGGCCAGCTCTCTGCTGTGGCCCGGGAAGGCAGTGGAGGATGGCCCAAGTGCTTGGGCCCTGCACCCCATGGGAGATCAGGAGAAGCACCTGGCTCCTGCCTTCAGATCAGCACGGTGCGCTGGCTGCAGCGTGCCAGCCGTGGCTGCCATTGGAGGGTGAACCAACGGCAAAAGGAAGACCTTTCTCTCTGTTTCTCTCTCTCACTATCCACTCTGCCTGTCAAAAATATAGTATGAAAACAAAGTAATATATAATATGAGAGAGAGAGAGAGAGAGAAGCATTCCTAAGAGTGACAGCCAATTCTCATCAGAAATCATGGCCTCCAGGAAGCAGTGAGATGACACATCCAAAGTACAGGAAGAAGATGGTGAACCCAGAATCCTATACATAAAAAATCCTTCAAAAATCGAGAAATTCAGTCATTTTAACAAAAACCATGATAATTTTCCTTAGTAAACCTGATCTGCCCACTAGAAAGTAACAAGAATCCACATCAAGAAATAGCACTAGTAAAAGTAATCATGGGTAAATATCAGAGTATAAACAAAAATAAAATCTCTAGAGGAAATCAATTTTTAATGGTTCAATTCCTGGGACTCCCGGTTCTTTAAGGACGGATGATGTCTGGCTAATTTGCACTGTGTAAGGTGGCAGGGGGTAGCTCAAACCCTTGAGTCCCTACCGCCCACATGAGAGAGCCGGGTTGAATTCTAGGCTCCTGGCTGCAACCTGGCCTTCCTCTGACTGATGTAGGCTTTTAGGCAATGAGACAGCAGATAAAACTATCTCTTCCTCTGTCTGTATTGCTCTATTTTTTTCTTTCAAATAAATAAAAGTAAACTAAGAAAGAAAAGGTAAAACTAAGCACTAAGCAATAATTTAAAATGGGAGCTGGGAAAGAAGTCATCCAAAATTGCTTAAAGTATTCCTAGTAGCTTATCATATTCAGGAAGAAGAAGCAAATTCTGAGTAAGATATCTTCTTGGAAAACTGTGAAAATATTTTTAAAAAGTTAAAGGTGGGGCCGGTGCCGCGGCTCACTAGGCTAATCCTCTGCCTTGCGGCGCCAGCACACCGGGTTCTAGTCCTGGTCGGGGCGCCGGATTCTGTCCCGGTTGCCCCTCTTCCAGGCCAGCTCTCTGCTGTGGCCAGGGAGTGCAGTGGAGGATGGCCCAAGTGCTTGGGCCCTGCACCCCATGGGAGACCAGGAGAAGCACCTGGCTCCTGCCATCGGATAGGTGTGGTGCGCCGGCCGCGGCGGCCATTGGAGGGTGAACCAATGGCAAAGGAAGACCTTTCTCTCTCTCTCTCTCTCTCTCACTGTCCACTCTGCCTGTCCAAAAAAAAAAAAAAAAAGTTAAAGGTGGCGCCCATGCAGTAGCACAGTGGGTAAAGCTGCCACTTGCCATGCTGGCATCCCATATGGGCGCTGGTTCAAGACCTGGCTGCTCCACTTCCAACCCAGCTCTCTGCTATGGCCTGGGAAAGCAGTAAAAGAGGGCCTAAGATCTTGGGCCCCTGCACCTACGTGGCAGACCCTGAAGAAGCTCTGGCTTCTGGCTTCAGATCAGCAAAGCTCTGGTCGTTGTGGCCAACTGGGGAATGAACCATCAGATGGAAGACCTCTCTCTCTTCTCTCTCTGTGTGACTCTTTCAAATAAATAAATAAATAAATTTTTTTTTTGACAGGTAGAGTTATAAACAGTGAGAGAAAGAGAGAAAGGTCTTCCTTTCATTGGTTCACTCCCCAAATGGCCGCTACGGCCGGCGCTGCGCCGATCCAAAGCCAGGAGCCAGGTGCTTCCTCCTGGTCTCCCATGCAGGTGCAGGGCAGGGCCCAAGCACTTGGGCCATCCTCCACTGCACTCCCGGGCCACAGCAGAGAGCTGGACTGGAAGAGGAGCAACCGGGATTAGAACCCGGAGCCCATATGGGATGCTGGTGCCTCAGGTGGAGAATTAACCAAATGAACCACAGTGCTGGCTCCAAATAAATAAATCTTTAAGAAAAAAAAAAGAAAAAGTTAAAGGTAATTCCTAAAAAGAAAAGGAGGAAGAAGTGGAGGAGGAAGAGGAACAGGAATAGAAGAAAGAGGAGGAGGAGGAGGAGAAAGAGGAAAGAAACACAATGTGTAGTTTCTAAACCAAAGACATAGACAAGGCAGAGAATGTTTTCAAAAAATATTTACCAATCTAACAGAAGAAGGAAAATAGACAAAAACAAAGAGAAAAGATTTTTAACAAAAAATGCAAAATAAGACAGAAGTAAGTCCAAATGGATAGGTAGTCATAATTAACGTACATGCAGTAAAACTGTATGTTAAACACTAGAGATTTGATTTTAGTTACATATTAACAGAATTGTGAGAGCTGAAGATAAAAAGATAGATAAGGCCACAAAACAGAAATATTAACTGAAGACAACAAGACATTAACTGAAGACATACAAGAATTAATGTCATACAAAATAGAATGTAAGACAAAAGAGTTAGAGGGATGAAAAGGAAATATATGTCATAAAAATGGAACAAACTTCCCAGAAGAAATAACAAACAAGCTCTTGAATGCTCCTAGGACATCAACCTTAATACAGGGCCATATGCTGGATATGGTGAAATGGTCATTCTTCCATTCAACTGATGTGCACAGCCATTGTCTTCATCCCCACTAAACTAGGGTCTTTTTCTTTTTTCCTTGTTAAACTGAAGCATTAAACCCTTTTACTATAAGGTAAATTTAATGTTATCTCAAAAACTATAAAAAGAAAAATTGAGGAGGAGGGAGGGAGGGAAGGTGGCAGGAAGCCAAGGAGACAGAGGGAGGGAGGAAATATTCTATTTTTAGAATTGTATCTACAAACTATATTGAATCAGTTAAAGACTAAAATTTAGAAACATTAAAAAATTAAAATTACAGTAAGTTAAAATGTTTATTTTCAAATAACTGATTTTAAAAACAAATAATTTAAAAATGAGTGTAAAAAATGCATGCCTACGTGATAAAAACATTCAATTAAGGGGAGAATTAACAAATCTGCAACCATACCACTACTAGGAACTGAGAAATTAAATACATAAAAAAATCACATTTCAACAAAAATGAGTAAGCTTGAATTAAACATCCCCACACATGTCTGACAAATACTAGAGGGTGGAATGTTTGGGAAGCTACTTGGATGCCTGCAGCCCATGTCAGGGTCTGGTTCAAATCCCAGCTCCCCCGCTTCGGATTCAGCTTCCTGCCGATGTGCACCCTGGGAGGCAGAAGATGGGTCAAGTGTCTGGGTCCCCACCACCCAAGGGGCAGACTTGACCTGAGCAGCATCACCCAGCCCTGGCTGTTGTGGGCATCTGGAGAGTAAATCAGTAGATGGAAGATCTCTATCAGCCTGTCTTTCCAATAAAATGAAAATTTAAAATACTAGAACCAGGCAAGCACTCCTTAAGGTTTCATAAAGGAGAAGAAATTCCTACCAATTTATTCCAGTATATAGACAAAAATCTAAAATATGTGATTTCTGAAAAGATTACCTGTATTAAAAACAAGTCACCAATTCTCATTCTCACAACCGCTACACGATTGTTCCCACTGTGGCACAACCATGTCAGTCCTTGGTATGACCTGTCATTTTTGTTAATGATGTAGACGGACTGCAAATCAAACACCCCAACTCTGGGTACAGATCCCGTAAGAACTGTAGTGCACACACAGAGACAGACACGAGAAGGTTCCTGCGGAGTGGCAGACACTGCTGGTTGCCTCTCCAACACCACCTCCTCCTTTTCCTTTCTAATAAAAACTCCATTTTCCGTAACAGGTAGCAACACAGTTAGGTGAACCCCATAAAGTGAGTAAGCCAATTAAGGTGATCACAAGAGCACTTAGCAGGTCATCATTTAGGGACAGGGATTTGTTTCCAGTTCAGGCCAAGGAAACCCAGGGGGAAACCTGCGGGGGTCCTTCTGAACAGACTTCTCAGTAAGAGACAGTGTAACTCGGCCAGCACCAGGTCAGACGCCGGCTTCCACACCGCTAAGGGACCCACGCAAACTGACCCGACACTGACTTCACTGTGTCCATGAGACAACCGAAATACAGTGTATGCTCTTGTGGCAATCTGCTATTTAAAAGTCCACTGTCATCTTTCCCATCAAAGGCTAGGTCCACGTCCCTTCCCGCTGAATCCGATTTTCAAAGTTAGGTCATGGAAGGCCGGAGAGCTGCCACTTAGTTCTCCCGAGTGCCTGCTGTGAGAGAAGCCAGCTGTCCCCAGGCTGCCCCACTGGAGGGCCACGTGCAGACACACTGGCCACAGCCAGCACTACCCGTGACTGCACAAGCGAGACCTCTGGGATGGAGACTACAGATGAGCGCAGACGCAGCCGACAGGAAGAAGCCTGGGAAGGAATGGTCTAACGCAGCTCCTCCTCCATTTCCGAGCTACAAGAACACAGGCAAATAGAGCAGTTGTTGAAGCAGCTGCATGCTGGGCTAAGTTGTTAAGCAACTGGAGGAAATCTTAATAAAGAAAACCTAATTCCCCTGCTACTCTAAGCCCTGACTCAATCACTCAAGAGGAGGGAAAGAAAGCAGAGTTGGGCCCGGGAGCAACAGCTGTGCCTTTTTCGCCTCTCGGCATTTTTAGGAGGACGAGGCTGTGGACCCCATGTTCTGACAAGGAATTAGCCGAGGGCCTGGGCTCGCTATACGGCAGAGCAGGTGGCACAGCCACAGTCACTGTTACCAGCCACGTCCAGCAGTACCTGAAGGACAGCAGCTCTCTCTGGGATGCTGGGAGGAAGATCCGGTCCCGCTGACAGTCTCCCAAGTCCACGGCCAGCCAACAGTTGCAGAGAAAATGCCACTTCTTCTTAACTGTCATGTCACTGACAACAACCTGGTTTACGTACCTGGAGCGAGACACGGAGAATCACGTTAGGGAGGTGGGCGTGGACCAGCCACCGTGTAGTCACAAGTGTGTGTCCCCAAGCAGGAGGAGGTCTCATCGCAAGGCACCAGCTAAGGCCCAAGGCAGAGCTGACCCTGTCGTTCCCTGGACAGAACGCCGCCGATTTCCACGCCCCACGTTCGGGAACAGAAGTGTGTGCCCATCTCTCCCGGCTCTCTTGCCTCCGTATGCGACAAAGCCTTGTTCTCTCTTCAAGTGCTCCCTGGATCTCTAGCTTGTATCACCAGGGGGTGCAAGGGGGGTACGGGGTGTGGTCTTCAGTGACTCACGACCTCCTGCCCGGCCTGGGTGGGCAGCCTCCCTCGATGTCACAGAGCACAGACCCCGAGGGTCCAGTCCCCTCTGGCCACAGCGTCCTAATTTGTGCCGCCTTCTCCCTCAGCGCCAAGCGCCCGCGTCCTCAGGACACCTGACCGTGCGGCCGCGTGGCCTCCCCAAGAGCCTGTGTTTCACGGCATGAGCCCACTGACATTTCGCTGATCAAAATCCTGGTTAAATTCCAGCTGACACCAGTTTTCCATGACAGGAACACAGACTCCTTCAAGGAGAAAATGTTTCTGAGGACTCTTACTGAGTTACAGTATCACCGGTGCCTAAGCTGAAGTTGCTTCAAACCAGCTAGAGCATCACATGGAGTTAAAGCTTCCTGTAAGAGCTAAGACTGGGCCAGCGCCGCGGCTCGCTAGGCTAATTCTCCGCCCGCGGCACCGGCACCCCAGGTTCTAGTCCCGGCTGCTCCTCTTCCAGTCCAGCTCTCTGCTGTGACCCGGGAGGCAGTGGAGGATGGCCCAAGTGCTTAGGTCCCTGCACCCGCATGGGAGACCGGGAGGAAGCACCTGGCTCCTGGCGTCGGATCAGTGCAACGCCGGCCGCAGCAGCCATTTGGGGAGTGAATCAACGGAGGGAAGACCTTTCTCTCTGTCTCTCTCTCACTGTCTATAACTCTACCTGTCTAAATAAATAAATAAATAAAAGAGCAAAGTCTGATGAAAGCAAAGCCTAACAAAATAAGCAAGGAAGAAGACGCTCACTTTCTGACTGGCAAGGAACCAGTTAGTCACGGCTTTCTATGTTTCCAGTGTGGCTTTTATTCTCTTTCAAAAGTGAGAAATAAAAGGAAATCAAACCTGAGTTTTCAAAAAACCTGGTTGAGATATTCATTATGGATAGCAGAAAGATTATGGAGAACACCATCATTTGCTAAAGAAAAAAAAGTTGCCAGCAGTCTGGTTTTACATGGGGGGTAATTCTTTGGCTTTTCTGCGTTTTCCAAGTTTCCTGCACTAAAGCATATTTACAGTAGGTTAAGCTGTGGCTTTGGACACCAGCATACCACATCTGGGCTCCTGGGAGGCGGAAGATGATGTCCCGAGTCCTTGGGCCCCTGTCACCCATGTGGTAGACCCTGATGGAGCTCCTGGCTCAGTGCTGATTGTTGCCAGCATTTGGGGGGTGAACCAGTACGTGGACTTTCTCTCATTTTCATTTATTTGAAAAGGAGAGTAACAAACACACACACTTACAGAGAGAGAGAAAGATCGATCTTTTATCCACTGGCTTGTTCCCCAAATGCCCACAGCAAGCCAGGCCCAAATCAGGGAGCAGGAAGTCTATCCAGGTCTCCCGCATGGATGGCAGAAATTCTAGTACATGAGCCATCACCTGCTGCCTTCCTGGGTCAGCAGAGACCAGAACTGGAGGTGGGACTCAAACCCTGTGTCCTGGCAGGGAATGTGGGTGACCCAAGCAGTACACCACAATGGCCGTCTCAAGAGTTATCCAGGTAAATTTTTTTTTTTTTTGACAGGCAGATTGGACAGTGAGAGAGAGAGACAGAGAGAAAGGTCTTCCTTTGCTGTTGGTTCACCCTCCAATGGCCACCGCGGCAGGCGCACAGCGCTGATCCGAGGGCAGGAGCCAGGTGCTTTTCCTGGTCTCCCATGGAGTGCAGGGCCCAAGCACTTGGGCCATCCTCCACTGCACTCCCTGGCCACAGCAGAGAGCTGGCCTGGAAGAGGGGCAACCGGGAAAGAATCCGGTGCCCCGACCGGGACTAGAACCCGGTGTGCCGGCGCCGCTAGGTGGAGGATTAGCCTAGTGAGCCGTGGCGCCAGCCTATCTAGGTAAAATTTTAAAAGTTTTTTTTTCATCTACTTGAAATGCAGAGAGACAGAGTCTCACTTCTGTCCATTGCCCTCCACAGCTAGGGCTGGGCCTGGCCAAAGCCGGGGACTCCAGCTGCAGCTTCTCTGTAGGCGACAGGGACCCGACTCGAGCCATCGCCTGCCGCTTCCCAGAATGCATCAGCAGAAGCTGTACTGGAGGCAGAAGAGGGGCTCAATCCGGGGCTCTCACACAGAAAGTGGGCATCCGAGTGGCAGCTCAACCTGCTATGCACAAAACCTGCTTTACCTATTTAAATTTTAACATTTTCTTCCTATGATTATAAAATCCAAATTCATTAACATTCTGAAAACACCCAAAAGTACACTGAAGAGCACGGCTGAGGGACGATGCGGGGCCGTTTGCTCCCGGCACATGTCGGGTCTGTGTATCACTGGTCCTTTATCTCTGGAATTTCCACACAAGCTGAGTGCAAGTTACAATCTTTCCCTTCTCTGTAAGCTCTTACTTTCTGACCCAAAGTAAATTCAATATAGTTGTTTATTAATTTTACTCTTTAAACACATTCTCATATGTAAAAATACCTTTAGTTTAAGGTATTTCCAGGCAAGATTTCACTGTTATTATTGCCATTCACAATCATGACAACATTTAATGAAAATGAAAGAAAGCAAAGCACCACTCATCCTGCCATCCTCTTCAAGAACCACATCAAGAGGCCAGTGCTGTGGTGTAGCAGGTAAAGCCGCCGTCTGCGGTGCCAGCATCCCATATGGGCACTGGTTCCAGTCCTGACTGTTCCACTTCCAGTCCAGCTCTCTGCTGTGGCCTGAGAAAGCAGTGGAGGATGCCCCAAGTCCTTGGGCCCCTGCAGCCATGTGGGAGATCTGGAAGAAGCACCTGGCTCCTGGCTTCAGATTGGCACAGCTTTGGCCATTGCTATCATCTGGAGAGTGAACCAGTGGATGGAAGACCTCTCTCCCTCTCTCTGCCTCTGCCACTCTGCCTTTCAAATAAATCAATCAATCTTGAAAAAAAAAATCATATCAAGGTTTGTTCTCTGTAGACATCTTTTTTTTTTCTTTTAATTAAAAAATCACTCAGAGAGGCTGTGCTCCCACCTGCTGGTTCACTCCCCAAATACCCGATTGCCTGGGACCAAGGAACACAATCCAGGTCTCTCCCATGTGGTGGCAGGAACCAATTACTTGAACCATCACCGCTGCCTCCCAGGGTCTGCACTAGTGGGAAGATGACGTCAGGAGCCGGACCCGGGAACCAAACCCAGGTAACTGTGATGTGGGAAGCAAGCGTTTTAACCACTAGGCCACGTGCGCCCCTGCAAACAGCTTTTAAAAAACATAAATATAACAGTAACTAGTTCCTGTTTGGCCCAAGGCCTTCTTGTGACTTATTGTGAAGACGAGCTGGTCTCACTCCCGAATATGAGCCACCTCCAAGGGGGAAAGCGCAAGGTGGCACGAGTCAGGCGCTTACCAAGAAGGGCTGACGCCAGAATTGTCATGCCAGAGCCGCAGGCTGTGCAGCTCCCCCAGAGGGTGCTTGGTGGTGAGAAGGAAGACGTCCAGGGCCCCTCGTTCAAACACAGCCTTCTGGGGGTCACAGAGATGGTGGGGCTCGCTCCGTCCCTCCGATCCATAGAGGGTGATGACAACCTCGAGTGTGACAGAAGACACAGGGACATTTAAGGCAACTCTGGGTTTGTCCCAAAGGAGAGGATGAAGACTTAGACGCCAGTACTTAGAGGAAGTCTCTGGGATCTCAGATGAGTGCAGAGGGCTCTTCACAACTTAGAACTAGGAAGGACCCGCTCTGGGATCCCTGGGAAGGGGCTGCTGGTCCCCGCGCTCTCACCCAGCCAGAGTGAGTCTCACGTGTGGAAGACATGGGCAGTGCACGGGCACCGTGTATTCCATTCACCTTAGCTGTCGTGGCAGCCCTCCTCCGATAGCCCGTGTAGACCTGAACCAGGTAGTGAAACTGGCAGCTGGGGTCATTGTCAGCCAGGACGGAGACCTTCACCTGCAGGGAAAGCAGAACCAAGAACGGTCCAGGTTTCAGCTTAGCTGGTGGACGCGGCGTCAGAGCTCCGCTGCGGGTCTGGAAGGCCAGGGTGCCGTGTCATCGCAAGACAGCAACCGGCAGGCCCAGTGCCACGGGAGGCCTGACGCCCCACGGCTGTGCCACAGAACCAGCGGCTCGGGCCTTGCGCACTAAACTCTTCTGCCCCCTTCCCACCGAGGGAGGGCTACCGGCTAACACAGGCTCGAATTTCAGATGAGCAATGGATAATCTGGGGCAGACTTGCACTGAAGATGCACAGACCGCTTAGGTGAAATGGAAAGTTAACTGGGTGCCCTCTGTCCCTATTCATTAAGTCTGGCAGCACTTCACAGGGCTGCAGAGAAATGGGCACTTTGTGTACTCTAGACTTTCCTGTGTAAGAAAACTTGAGAATGAGAAAAACGTAAAACAGAAGTTAAGAAGGTGTCATCATGAAGGGATTTTTGTTTTCAAAGCGTCCTTAGAGGTTCTCAGTGAACTGCAATTTGAATTAGACTTAACTTTCATGTGCGATAGAGCTGCACTTGATTTGAGAGTTAAGCTCTCTAGATGCCTTCCATTGGCTCATTCCTAACCTACATGAGCCTCATGAGGGTCTTGGCTAAAGAGAAGAAAACGGAGACAAAGATTTCCGTCTTGAGAGGAGATAAGAAGAGAGCTTTAAGCAATGTCCCAGTCGCATTTCTCTGCTGCCCGGGACCAGCCCGTCTGCTGCTTTTGATAAAAACAGCTTTCTTTCCGTCTTACGTAACATTCTCAAGGCACTGTGGCCAAGATTCTAGAATCCAAATGCCATCACCTTCTGGGTATCTGCCCGGTCCTTTCTCCACGCCCACGCAGCCAGGACCACGTAGCATCCTAAGAGACTGGCCAGCAGCGACACCCCGACAGGGTTGCTGGTCACACGGAGCAGGAGTCTGATTGTGTCTTTGACGTTGACTGTCCTGGGCAGGATGAAGAAGTCACTGCCGAAGAAGGTCAGGTGGTTACACAGACACTGCGTCCTGGAAACTGTGCTCCGCGGCCCAACCTGGAATTGGATGCAGGACACTGGCTCTAGGGAGGGCGCTAAGCAGGGGACAGACTCACAACACAAAGACAGCCACTTGCAGGTGGCCCAGGCCGCCAGGATGGCTCAGGCACGGCTGGAGGCCACGTCAACTGGTTTGGCCAATGAAGAGAGCAACTGGTTAACATCTGCTGCTCCTCCGCATGCGGAGGAGCCGCACCGGACCGGACGCTTGTTGTTCCCTTTTTTTACAAGTCCTTTCTATAGTAAAGTAAGAATAAGTAAACAGCAAACTCCCAAAGCAAGAATGAGTAGAGAGAAATGAGAAAGAACGAAGTAACGAACTTCCCCGCGAACTCTCCAACGCACTCTCCAACCAACCCACACCACCATGCCGTCTCTCTCCTCCTATACAGTCCTCTCCACCAATCCGTGCTCTGCTACCCACACGCCGAACGCGCTGCTCTCCTCCAATCAGGAGCGGCTCTTGCAGCTTATCAAGTTGGTAAGGGGCAGCTGGGTAGAAGCTGTATGCTCCTCTCCCAGCGCCATATTGTGGGAGAGCAGATGCATAGAATAAGTCTTAATTCCAGTAACAGTATAGTCCGAGTTGCTCCCCACAAACATCCAGTAAAGCAGAAGCAGACTCTGGCTCCTACAATTCCAGCTCTGCGTTTATACCCACAGGCGCATACGGGTATGTGAAAAAGAAATGTTTTGTCAGTTATGTCTACAGCTACAAAAAACAGGAAACAAGTACATAAATAAGGAGACCCAAATGGATGGAATACTACATTTAACAACAGTTAAAATGAATGAGCTAGAGGTAGTAGGAAAAAAATAGGAGGAGAAAAGAAATTAAGGGGCCAGTGCTGTGGTGTAGTGGGTAAAGCTGTCACCTGCAGTGCTGGCATCCCATATGGGTGCCAGTTAGAATCCTGACTGCTCCATTTCCAATCCAGCTCTATGCTATGGCCTGGGAAAGCAGTGGAAGATGGCCCAAATCCTTGGACCCCTGCACCCACATGAGAGACCCCGGAGGAGGTTCCTGGCTTCAGACTGGCACAGCTCCAGCTGTCATGGCTATCTGGGGAGTGAACCAGCAGATGGAAGACCTCTCTCTCTGCCTCTCAAATAAGTACATAAGTAAATTAAAAAAAAAAGTTAAAATAAGGGTACATCCCGGATAGTTCTATTAACACAAAGTCTATAAGCAAAACAGGCTGGCGCTGGGGCACATCAGGTAGGGCTGCTGTAGTGACCCTGGCATCCCATGTTAGAGTGCTGGTTCAAGTCCTGGCTACTCTGCTTCCTAGCCAAGTTCCTGCTGATATGCCTGGTAATTCAACAGAAGTTGGTCCGGCTACTTGGGCCTGCATGGGAGACCTGGTGTTCCTAGTTCTTGGCTTCAGCTTGGCCCAGTCCTGGCTGTTGTAGTCATTTGGGAGTGAACCAGTAATTTGAAGATCTCTCTTCTTTTTAAATAAAAAATTTAAAAGGTAGTCCTCTGCTGAGAGAATGAACACATGTGGCAAACTCAGGACAGTGGTGGGATCGAGGGCAGGGCAGCAGGAAGGGACACACAGAGGGCTGTGTTTATTCCCGAGTGGTTTGTTACATGCAAACATCAGAAGTAGAGCAGAACACTGAGAGGGAGCTGAGGGGTATGTCTAATATTTTAAAAATTGTATTATTCCCTATAACTTTCCACCTACTGTAACATTTATTTACCTATTGATGTTTACAAATTAATTATTAAAAAACATATCAGTGGGAGAGCAGGACACTCCTTTCCTAGTGGCACCTGGGTCAGCTCTTGGCGCTGGCTCGGGACATTCCATCGTCCTGACTCCAGGGGGCAGCACTGATGGCTGAGTTGGTTCCTGACACCCACGAGAGGGACCTGGACTGCCTTCCTGGTTCCTGGCTTCTTTGGCTCTGGCCCAGCCCTGGCCACTGGGGGCATTTGGGGAAGAAACCAGTGGATGATGGAGCTAGCACTCTCTTCCTATGAAAAAAAATTTCTTTAAATTTTCAGTAGGTAAATAGATGGAAACCACCAATCCCTGTTTTTGTGGGGAAAAAAAAAGCCTAAAGTATTGTCATTCTGACAAACTTCTTTTCTCTCCCTGGTGTAAGCCTGAGTTCTGGGTGTCCACTTCATAGGAGGGTGCTTCAAGATGTTCACAGAAAATGGAACTACACGGTAGTTTATTCCGGTACAGAAACCTTTTGAAACGTAAGCGTATGAAGGGTATTCAAAAACCTGGGAGGTGCGCGGTGGGAAAGGACTGCCCGTGGATTTCACAGTTTTGGCACCGAAGTAAATGTCTCTTCACAGTCTTCGCTGAACTTTTTGAAGTCCCCCCCATTTTGCGGGCGGCGTGGACGCCTTCCTGAGCACGCCCCTCTCTTTCCCACCTGGTAACTCTCAGACCTTGTGAACAGCTTCCTGGTTCCCACGACCTTGCACTGCATTCCTGGTGCTGCTAAGCCAGGCCTCACGTCGGGGCCCCTCTCAGAATTGAGAGTAACTGCGAACAGACACTCCCCGACTTACGATGGCTCGGCTTACAACGTGCGACTCTGTGATGGAATGAAAGTGATATGCATTCAGCTAGGGTGCTGTGTTCCGACAGGTTCTACCTCTGTATCGTAAAGCAGGCTTTGGACGGGAGCTCTGTGCAAGCTGCTAACCACATTCAAGGCAGGCCAGGCTGAGCCATGGTGCTCGGTAGGGTAGGGGCGTTCATGCATTTCTGACATTCAGGTGGGTTTGCAGTAACCGGTCGCAGGTGGAGGTATATCTGTCTGCTATTGTTAAGTGGTCCAGGAACAAGGCAAGACTCGCAAAAGCAACGTCGTCCCCGCCTGGCTTAAGATGTGCAGGAATCCGCTAAGGCAGAGTGGACAGTGAGAGAGAGAGACAGAGAGAAAGGTCTTCCTTTGCCGTTGGTTCACCCTCCAACGGCCGCCGTGGCCGGCGCACAGCGCTGATCTGATGGCAGGAGCCAGGTGCTTCTCCTGGTCTCCCATGGGGTGCAGGGCCCAAGGACTTGGGCCATCCTCCACTGCACTCCCAGGCCACAGCAGAGAGCTGGCCTGGACGAGGGGCAACCAGGACAGAATCCAGCGCCCCAACCGGGACTAGAACTCGGTGTGCCAGCGCTGCAGCAGAGGATTAGCCTAGTGAGCCGCGGCGCCGGTGCTAACACGTTTCTAACACATCAGTTCTCTATTCTGCAGGTTTGCTTCATTTTATCTGCCCCGTAGGACCTGTTTCCACGCAGGCTTTCCTTAGCTCATCCAGAACTCCAGATTCACCCTGGACCCCGTCTGAGAAGCGAATTGGAGACATGGCACAGGCCTGCGCCGGTCAGCAGCCGGGCCACACGGCACAGCCGGCACCTTGGCTCCTTGGCCCGGGTCCTTTATTGCCCTCCCCTGGGCTGTGCCTCTGGGCTGCCCCCTGGAGGGCAGCAGGGGCACTGTGTTTAGCGGCGGCTGAGGTAGAAGAGAAGTGGCCCCGCCTCTTACTTGGCACCCGTCGCTCCTCCACGTCCTGTTGTGGCTGTCCCAGAAGTAACACTGGGTGACAGCTGTCACCACCGAGACCAGGGCGGGCCTCTCTGCGTCGCCATTCAACACGGCTGTTACATAGTAGGTGCCGATGCCGTAGCGCAGGCTCTCGGGCGTCAGCACCCAGGTGTACTCCTCATCTTGGGACAAAGAAGAGGGCTTAATTGTAGCTCAGTGAGACAAAAATGCACCTGACCCTTTCTTCTGCAGGGCTGTTTTATTTTACAACGGAGGAAACGCTAGGCCTCGAGTTGCAGTGGCCTGAAGAGAGATGACCCGCAACAGAGGCTGGGTTCCCCCCTGTCAGTGCAGTCATCTGCTTTTGTTTGTTTTGATGGTTAGGATTTGAGTCTTCCTGCTAAACAATGCTCACACATTTTTCTTCTTTCACCCAGAAGGCAGGGTTTGAATTATTTAATTTTGATGTATTTATTTAATTTTTAAAAATGGCAGGGGAGGGCAGGCTAAGCTGCCACCTGCTGCGCAGAATCCCACATGGGTGCTGGCTCCAGTCCAGGCTGATTCACTTCCAGTCCAGCTCCCTGCTACTCATCTTGGGAAAGCAGTGCAAGGTGGCCCACATGCTTGAGCCCCTGCCACCCACGTGGAGATCCAGATGGACTTCCAGGCCAGCCCCAGTCGTTGTGGCCATTTGGGGCGTGAATCAGTGGATGGGATACCTCTCTGTTTCTCTCTGGCTCTCCCTCTGTCTCTAACTCCACTTTTCAAATGAAATAAATAGGTCTTAAAAAATAAACACAAAAAGGGAAAAGAGATTATATATCTTTCCAAAAGAAAAAGTTAAGAATCATGTTTTAAAAATAAAGATTTATTTATTTGAGAGGCAGAGTTACAGAGAGAAGGAGAGACAGAGAGAAAGATCTTTCATCTGCTGGTTCACTCCCTAAATTGCCACAAGGGCTGAGGCTAGGCCAGGCTGAAGCCAGGAGCCTGGAGCTTCCTCCGGGTCTCCCATGTGGGTGGGAGGGGCCCAAGCACGTGGGCCATCCTCTGCTGCTTTCCCAGGCGCATCAGCAGGGAGCTGGATTGGAAGTGGAGCAGCTGGGCCTCAAGAGCAGCGCCCACATTGGATGCTGGCATTGCTTAACCTGTTGTATCATGACTGACCAGACAATCATTCTTTTGAAAAATCATAATTTAGGTCTGAGTATAATTAGAATGCACCTTGAGTTTTAGGAAAATGAAATCAGCACCCATCTAAATTAGTAAACAGAAGGCCCAGGTACCGAAAGGAACCACGGACAGAGCCAGGGGAGGCGAGAGCGGGTCCAGGACCAGAGAGCTGCTGCCAGGCCTCACGCTGAGCCTCTGGCTGTTAAGGCCAAGGCGCGGCAGCTGAGGCTGCTGACTCTGCTTTCTCATCCCTCAAAGGAGGAGCCCCTCATCCTTCAAAGGATCTCCAGGTCACTGAGTGGGGGGAGGGTAACTGGAAAAGTGACCATTTCCATGTTGGTGAGGCCCCTGAGAGTCAGAGATGGTTCCATCCGTGAGGAAGACCGTGACTGTCATGCAGGTGCAGCAAAACACGCATTAGCCTTCCCGATGAGGTTGCCATTCTTAGTGCGAAAGGGTGGCTCTTTACTGAGACGTCAGCACCGTATTCAAAGTTCAGGTCCACAGAGCCTGCTTTTGCTCAAGCATATCTAGGCATTGTTTCTATAGCTCATACATTTTAATGATTAATATATAAATCAGAAACTAACTTTTCTAAATGTGAGGTAGACATCTGGTTTATGGTAAGACTTACTGAGATACCTCCAGGCCTACAGGTAAAATGAAAATACAGATTCTTCCTATACATTAATCCACAATATGCAGTGTTTAGGATACATGACCTGTGGTGCAGGAACTTGACTTCTGCAGCGGAACTCAACATCTCACTACGAACCACACGGGAATTGGAGAGGACGTTGTCAGCACTCGCTCCATCGCTAAGGAAATTCTACAATGGACCTTTTACTGAATTTGCTTAATCATATAAATGTCCTTCCTTCCACCCCACAACCTGTCTTTTTTTTGGAAAAAGTGCACTTCATGGTCATGTGTGTCTACAGATGGGGCAAATTACAGGGAACCAAACACACGCACACAGAGGGACCGGTGCTTGGAAATCTGGTAAAATCTGAGACAGTCAACGCACATGCCAATGCCTTCTCCTGGTTGTGCCACAGTGCCTGACAGTGGCAATAATGCTACTGTCAGGGGAGAATGGGCTGAAAGGTATCCGAGTCGTCTACTGCATTTCAAACGGCCGCATACAGACCTACAATTATCTGAAAATAAAAAGTTACCAAACACAGTGCATTTCAAAGTGGGTTGCCCGCACCTGACCGGGGTTTACCTTTCTGCCACACCTGATCCTTTGGAAGGGTGATGTTCAGGTGGCAGTCGGCAGGCTCAGGCTGATGCTGGAAGGCCAGGTAGAGGGTCACGGGAAGGCGGATGTCTGGCTGCACGCTCAGGATCAGGGACTCCTCCGAGGAAGTGATGTTCAGCGTGATCACCAGCTGCTCTGTGCTCAGGCTGAGGCTGCTGGGCTGAGCTGGGTCCAGGCTCTCGCTTCTCCAGAGCACGATCTAGGACAGACAGGTCATCAGCTCCCGAGTTCACCGTGGTCCATCCATTGTGCCTTCCTGTCACCTTAGGAGTGACAAGGTAATGGAACTTTCTAGGTCTTCCTTTTTGAATATTAGCAGGTAACACAGTGCCAGGGTTAGGGGAGACTAAGTTATACATAGTCTAAGACCTACATCACCTTTTGAAAAGGGTAACACAGTTTTCTCTGTATAAAAGTTCCTAATTTAAAAAGTTAATAGGAACACAATGGCACTGCCATTAATCCGTACTTATTTCCTTCAATTTGCTGCATTTTCCATCTTATTTTCTAGAATATTCGATCCCGTCTTTATTCCCTACGATTCACTGATACCTCGATATCTTCCATTAAATCATGGACTTGGAGCGATTCAAGATTAGAGCTGAGCAACACAGTTCCAATGCTTCCAACAATGTCCCTGTTGTCAAAATCCTTGAAGGGATTGAAAGCCAGTCCTGCGACCTAAGACAAAGACAAGCCAAGTTGCATCAACTGACAACACATTATAAATGACCCCGACAGGTAGCGAGGTATCAGATTTCATAAATTCAATACTGGGCTTTTCCCTGCTAATATCTCAGATGGAGTATTTCATACGATAACATAAATGAGAAACAATAGATTAAAGGGGAGGCATATACTTGGAACCCTCGATTTTTTAAACATGTTTATACCTCTATTTTGCTAGGAATTAAGTATTCTGCTCTCCAGGATAAGGCAACAATACCACCTGTGGGCCAGAGTCGTGGCTCCCTAGGCTAATCCTCCCCCTGCGGCGCCAGCACCCTGGGTTCTAGTCCTGGTCGGGGCGCCGGATTCTGTCCCGGTTGCCCCTCTTCCAGGCCAGCTCTCTGCTGTGGCCCGGGAAGGCAGGGGAGGATGGCCCAGGTCCTTGGGCCCTGCACCCACGTGGGAGACCAGGAGAAGCACCTGGCTCCTGGCTTCAGATCAGCACAGCGTGCCAGCCGTAGCAGCCATTTGGGGGGTGAACCAATGGAAAAGGAAGACCTTTGTCTCTAACTCTGCCTGCCCCCCCCCCCCCAAAATACCATTTGTGTTTGTTAGATCATTGTTTAAAGAAACACAGTAAACTGATATGCGCGCATTGCTATACTGAGTCAGTCATCAACCAGGTATTCCCAGCTTCGTGTAAATCATGAAGCTTTGAGATCCATTCACATCACAGCACAGGAACAAGGAGCCCAGAAACCTGTTCAACACTCCAGGTCTCTACGCTCATCTTTTCCAGGCCTCTGTCCGGGCCAGTGTCAAGTAAGCACAAATGGCAACCGCCGCCTCTCCCTGGCTCTGCGCAGGTCAGCTGCTACGTTTCTTTCACACAAACGTCCTCACGGCCACGGAATCCGGTTATCACCCCGATCCGAGCCGGTTTCGCACTCACCTGGACGTTAACTCCCGGGTGTTTACTCAGGAGCTCCTCCAAAGCCGCAGCCGACGGGAAGCCCAAGCTGACGGGTGCGGGGTGGCCCAGGGTGTAAGAGCTCAGAGGCAGAGTGGACGCGTTTCGGCTAAGGAGACGGAAGCAAGAAAGGAAACCGCGTTTTGTACGCTGTCCACAGGCCGCAGTCTGAAACAAAGCTCCTCTCCCTTCCTTCCCTGTTACCTGCTCAGCATCGTGACAGCGAGGGCAGAGGACAGCGTCACTGAAGACCCGGACGCCGGGTTCTGCTGCACCCCTGCTTCGTGGATCCTCCCGAGGGCCACGAGGGCCATCTCCAGCACGTCCTCCACCTGCATGAGCAGTGCACTGTGTTACTGAAGGAAGGCTTGGGGTGTAGAGGGCAGAGCACTGTGCTACTGAAGGAAGGCTTGGGGGTGTAGAGGGGAGTGCACCGTGCTACTGAAGGAAGGCTTGGGGGTGTAGAGGGCAGTGCTCCGTGCTACTGAAGGAAGGCTTGGGGGTGTAGAGGGCAGTGCACTGTTACTGAAAGAAGGCTTGGGGGTGTAGAGGGGAGTGCGGGCCACAGTAGTGAGGTCAGCTGGCGCCCACACTGGAACCCCAGAGAAAGTCCCGGCAGTCCGCTGAAGACCCCCTCTGTCTCGGAGAGGAGGGCCAGCCAGGGGGACGGGATGTAGGTCGCCCTCCTGCTCGTGGTGGTCCTGTCTCAGTGAGATGAACTTTACACACACGATTCACCGCTTAGAACTCACAATTCAATATTTTCTCTCTGTATTCACAGAGTTGTACAATTATCATCCCAGTCTCACGTTAGAATTCATTGCCCCTAAGACGAGCCTGGCCCCCACTGGCAGTCACTCTGCTCCCGCATTCTCAGACCCCTAGTCTCGGGAAACCCTTCTCTACGTCCTGTGTGCACAGGTTTTCCTGGGTGGGGAGGTTCCTGCCAGTGAACCACGACACGTGGTCTTTCCCGAGCGGCTTCTTTGCACTCAGCAGAATGTTTCCAAGGCTCACGTCGCAGCCTGCATCAGAACTTCAGTCCCCCTTGTTGCTGGGCAATGCTCCACCTCGTGGATAGACGACCCTTTATCCATCCATTCACCACATCCTGGACATTCCCGCTGAGAGCCAGGGGGTCCACAAACATGTGGTTTCCTTTCTCTCGGATACATACATGGCAAATCTAACATGCTGAGGAACCACGACACTGTTTTGCAAAGTGGCTGCCTCATTTTGTAATCCAACAATGTATAAGGATGGCACTTTCTCTGGATCCTTGCCAACACTCGTTGCTGTCTGCCTTTTTGGGTGAATTTGCATTTCCCTAATGCCTAAGGACGTCGAGTGTCTTTTTTGTGCAAATAGCAAGTGTACTTTATTGAGTGTTTACTCTGTGCCCAGTACTTTGCGCCAAGAGCTGGTTTCTCACACTGATGGGATAAAGAAGGAGACCCCAGAAAAGAGCAGGCTGGGGGGTTCTTCAGCAGAGTTTGCTTCCGCTGGTTCAAGTCCTGGCTGCTTCACTCCCACCAAGCTTCCCAGTAATGCACCTGGGAAAGCAGCAAAAGATGGTCCAAGTGCATGTATCCCTGTGTCCACATGGGAAACCTGAATAGAGGTCCAGGCTCCTGGATGCGGCCTGGCCTAGTCCTGGCCCTTCAGCCATTTGGGGGACTGAACCAGTGGATGGAAGATCTCACTGGCTATAATTGCCTTTCAAATAAATAAGTACATTTTAGAAATGGAGGGGTGATAAATCTTGAAAAAAAAAAAAAGGCGGGGGGGAGCTGGCACTGTGGTGCACTGGGTTAACGCCCTGGCCTGAAGCGCCGGCATCCCATATGGGCGCCAGTTCTAGTCCCGGCTGCTCCACTTCCAATCCAGCTCTCTGCTATGGCCTGGGAAAGCAGTAGAAGATGGCTCAAGTCCTCGGGCCCCTGCACCCATGTGGGAGACCCGGAAGAAGCTCCTAGTTCCTGGCTTTGGATCGGCACAGCTCTGGCCGTTGCAGCCAACTGGGGAGTGAACCATTGCATGGAAGACCTTTCTCTCTCTGCCTCTCCTCTCTCTCTCTGTACCTCTGACTTTCAAATAAATAAATAAATCTTTAAAAAAAGAATGGAGGGGTGAGTCAGGGCCAGAGTTGTGGCACAGTGAACTAACTGCCAACTGTGATACCAACATTTCATATCAGAGCACCAGTTCAAGTCCCAGGTGCTCCGCCTCTGATCCAGCTCCCTGCTAATTGCCTGGGGAGTCAGTGGAATCTGGCCTAAGTACTTCGTCCCCTGCCACTCACATGGGAGTCCCAGGTGGAGCTCTGGGTTCCTGGCTTTGGCCTGAACCACTCCAGCCAGTGTGGCCATGTGAGGAATGAACAAGCAGGTGGAAGATCTCTTTCTCTTTTCCTTTCTTTCTATCACTCTGCCTTTCAAATCAATCAATCTAAAAAAGAACCCAATAAAAATAAAGGGGCAGCTATTTGATTTTGTGGTTAAGATGCCTGCGTTCCATATGTGAGTGTCTGGGTTCAATGCCCAGCTCTGGCTCCGGACTTCAGCTTCCAGCTAACGCACACTGTGGGAGGCTGCAGGGTGGCTGCGTCCCTGCTGCCCACATGTGAGATCTGGAGTGAGTTCTCGGCTCTTGGTTCTGTCTCTGTCTCAGGTCAGCCTATGTGGGCATTTGGGGAGAGCAGCAGTGGATGAGAGCTCTGTCTACCTTCAAATACATTTCTAAAATCCCTCATGAAAAACATTCTACACCGAGTTGGCAACCTGCATAGGCTGGACCCACCTGCTCAGGACCACCCGTGGGTCTCTGCCAACTTTCTTCCGTAGTACTCAGGACGTTACTGAGGGGGTCAGTCAGGCAGGACGTCACAGGCATTCTGAAAGCCAGACTGCTGTTCTGAAACGGCATCTGCAGTAACTGCTCACTTAGGGAAATCAGTGAATTGATGGCATTGACCTGGGAATAGTGGAAGGCAAACATGTGAGGGTGCTTCAAAAAGTTTGGGGGGTGGTATGAGTTTGGTGCAGGGGTTAAGATGCTGCTTGAGACGCCCGGGTCCCATATCGGGGCGCCTGGATTTGAGTCCCAGCCCTGAATCCAATTCCATTTTCTGCTAAAGCAGCAGGTGATGGTCCAGGTACCTGTGGCTCCCTCATACCCATGTGGGAGACCCAGATGGAGTTCTGAGCACCTGGCTCTGACTTGGCCCAGCTCTGGCTGTCACAGGGATTTGGGGAGTGAACCAATGGGTGGAAGATCTTTTTGTTTTTGTCTCTCACTCTGCTATTCAAATAAACAAACCTAAAAATTAGGAAAAAAATTGTGGGAAAATACAATTAAAAGATCAATTTACTTTGGTGCAAAAGTTTTTTAAATTTATGCTTAATCTTTTTCATCATACACATCTTCTATGAGCTTTTCAAAGATCCCTTGCAGACATGATTTCAAAAACGTTTAATGAAATGTTGATTGCTTTAAACTTGTTTTTAGCAGCAGTTCAATATTATTGACATATTTCAAATGCATTTTTATAAAAATTACATTGCATTTTGGGAGGAAAGGAAAATATTTTATGTCACTTGTTGGTGAGGATACGTGTTCTATATTATTCTAAGGAACTGACAGAACTCCTTTTGAGTGGTAGGTTGGTTAGATATCTAGTTAGCAAAACTAAGTGGAAAAAGGAGTACCCGGGCAAAGAGCCACGCCAAGTGGACACCCCTTTGTACCAGGACCTCAAAAGCATTCAAGGTGGAACGAGAGCGGAGAGCAAGATGTCCAAAGTCAAACATGAACTCTGGTCCTCCTCTATGTAGGCTGGTCACATGTGAAACGTGAACTTCGGGGGTGGCGCTGTGGTGCAGTGGGTTAATGCCCTGGCCTGAAGCGCCAGCATCCCGTTTGGGCACCGGTTTGAGACCCGGCTGCTCCACTTCCGATCCAGCTCTCTGCTGTGGCCTGGAAAAGCAGTAGAAGATGGCCCAAGTCCTTGGACCCCTACACCCACATGAGAAACCTGGGAGAAACTCCTGGCTCCTGACCAGCCCAGCTCTGGCCATTGCAGCCATTTGGGGAGTGAACCAGTAGATGGAAGACCTCTCTGTGTCTCTCCCTCTCTCTGTCTATAACTCTACCTCTCAAATAAATAAATCTTAAAAAACAAAGAACCCAATCTCTGAAGCCCTCCCAGTGGGGAGTCCATGCCGGCATGGGCTTCAGAGGCATGAACCTCGGCATTTTCTGTCCCCCCCCCCAACCCCCGCTTACCTGGGCAGGTGTAGACAGTCTTGAGGTGAAGCCGCTCAGTTCCTGGAGCACCTTGCAAGCTCTCTGGAGTTCTCTATGAGCCTGCACATCATCCGTCACTCCCCTCAAGTTCCCTGCCGTCTCATCTGTGGTCTATTGGCAACAAAGGATTTTGTCAGGATTACTCAGGATCACCCCCACGTGAGCACTTGGAGACATTGCTAGAAGAACCAGCACTGAGCTCCGATGCCACTGGAAGCTCTATGAGCCAGCGTCTCTCCAAAACGGCTACCGTTTTTAGAAGCTTTGCTCCAGTGTACAGAGTTTATTTTAACCTGCTCCATACAGTTCAGGCAATGAGTAACAAGGTCACCCAGTGGCTGGTACGAGGTCAAGCATTTCTGGAAATGAGATTCGTAGGATTAAGTCTGTTGGCCAGGATCAAAAGTGAGGGAAACTTGGAGTTCAAAACAGCAAAAACTGAACTTTTCCATTAAAATATATGTTTTATCCCTCAGGTTGCCATTGTGCTGGTTTTCCTTAATTCTAAGGTTCATGTTCAAGTCGGAAGTACCTGAAATAACACACAGAAAAGTCTTCCTGGAGGAAGAGGAGCAAACTGAGCCAAGTGGATGTGGAGCCACGGCGGGTGGGGGGCTTCCTCTACTCACTCCAGTCTGAGACTGGTTCATTTCTGGAGAACAGCCCACCTATAAGCCTATTCAATTACGTGTTCAAGGAGTCATTATTTTATTTATTTATTTTTTTGACAGGCAGAGTGGACAGTGAGAAAGAGAGAGAGAGACAGAGAGAAAGGTCTTCCTTTGCCGTTGGTTCACCCTCCAATGGCTCCCACAGCTGGCGCACCGCGCTGATCCGAAGGCAGGAGCCAGGTGCTTCTCCTGGTCTCCCATGGGGTGCAGGGCCCAAGCACTTGGGCCATCCTCCACTGCACTCCTGGGCCACAGCAGAGAGCTGGCCTGGAAGAGGGGCAACAGGGACAGAATCCGGCGCCCTGACCGGGACTAGAACCTGGAGTGCCGGCGCCGCAAGGTGGAGGATTAGCCTACTGAGCCACGGCGCCGGCCTTCAAGGAGTCATTATTAAAAGCCTACTGTAGGGCCGGCACCGCGGCTCACTAGGCTAATCCTCTGCCTGCGGTGCTGGCACCCTGGGTTCTAGCCCTGGTAGGGGCACTGGATTCTGTCTGGCCGCAGCACACCGGCCTTAGCAGCCACTTGGGGGGTGAACCAACGGAAGGAAGACCTTTCTCTCTAACTTTGCCTGTCAAAAAAAAAAAAAAAAAAAAAAGCCTACTGTGTACTGTGGGTGCTATGTTGGAGAAGCCGGGGCCCTTAGGGACCACATGGCTGTACAGGTTCATTCCTGATTCAGAGGGTTTGCAGGAGGCTGGGTGAATTACAGAGTGATTTTCAGACTGAGAACCACCACCGTGCGGTTTGGGTTTGTTGTTTCAGGAATGAAGACGCAGGCGAGACAGAGTTGCCCCCAACTACACGGGGCCAGTGGGACAGATCTTATTTTCACCATCCTGGCTACAGTCAGAAGGGTACTGAGGATGGGGACCTCACACGTGGTATTTCAGCGCAGCACCGTTATTTGGCCTGGATCCTGGTATACCCTGCCAACTATTTCATCTTTTTACAAGTCTCTTGTCAGGGAGTAGGCACATACCTTGGTGGTTGAGACTCCTGCAACCCAAGCTGGAGGGCCTACAGTCAAGTCCTAGCTCCGGCTTCTGACTCCAGCTTTCTGCTAGTGCAGACGGTGGGAGGGGCGTTGATGGCTCAAGCAACTGGTCCTGGCCACCCACATGAGAGACACCCACACGGGAGACGAACTGAGCTCCTGGCTCTCAGCTTCAGTCTGGCCAACCCTGTCTGTGGCAGGCATGTGAGAAGAGAACCAGCAGATGGGAACTCTCGCTCTGTGCCCCATTTATCTCTCTCTCTGATTCTCAAATCTCAAAAATTATAGCATTAAATAATGTCTTGAAATACTGACATGAATCCAAGGTGATTCTCTCTCCCAGGGGCCCGACTAGTGCCTCTCTCAGGAAAGTAGCAACCTGGAAGAAAATCCCGCGTGCCCAAGGGCTCTAGGACACAAGCAGACACTTGCTTCCTTTGGCTGCCTATGAGTACTTACTAAGCCCCTGCTGGATGGATTGTGTGCACTGAATTCCTCCCTGTCTCCACATGGGCCAGAGGCATTGATGTACAAGTTTGTTTAGTCATCAACTATGCCCTTCCCACCAACAGGGAAAACTATATTCACAGAATTGGCCGTCGTGGACGCTTTGGTCGTAAGGCTATTAACATGGGGACAGAAGAAGATAAGCAGACTGACATCGAGACCTTCTACAACACCTCCATTGAGGAGATGCCCCTCAATGTTGCTGACCTCATCTGAGAGGGGCTGTCCTGCCACCTTGCCCCAGCTGGGGTTCAGTCCTGGAGGGCTGAGGGGGGAGGGAGCCAACAGATGGACATCTTGTCATTTTTTTTCCTCTTTAAATAAATGTCACTTTTTGAGGCAAAAAAATACTGAAATGGGAAGGGGCTGGCAATGTGGTTCAACAAGTTAGTATCTTTTTTTTTTTTAAAGATTCATTTATTTGAAAGACAGAGCTACAGAGAGAAGTACAGACAGAAAGAGAGGTCTTCCATCTACTGGTTTACTCCCCAGCTGGCTGCAACAGCTGGAGCTGCGCTGATCTGAAGCCAGGAGCTTCTTCCGGGTCTCCCACGCGGGTGCAGGGGCCCAAGGGCTTGGGCCATCTTCTACTGCTTTCCCAGGCCATAGCAGAGCGCTGGATCAGAAGTGGAGCAGCCAGGACTAGAACTGGTGCCCATATAGTATCCTTGTGCTTCAGGCCAGGGCTTTAACCTGCTGCACCACAGTGCCAGCCCCCAATATCATTTTTTTTTAAATAAAGCTTTATTTGAGTGTGGGGGAGGCTGAATTCGGAGAGGCCTAGAGGAAACTTCCTGAGCCTCCCTTGAATTTGAAAACCTGTCTAAGTTTCAAATCCCTGGTGGCAAACACCCCAGCCCCAGGGCGCTTCTGCCTAACGATCTTTAAGGTGGTATAATAGGAGTGGTTAGGACCCTTTTGCATCATATCACCCCATCCCTTGCCCGCATCCGCTCATCTGCTCTGTACCTCAGCTATATATACACCTCCCTTTTACAATAAAGTGAGACCCTGCTTCGACTGGGCTCCACACCGCACCTGATTGTCCCCCAGGTTTGGGGAAGGCTGATGGCACACTTCCCCTCCTCGGTCAAGGCAAGCTATGGACAGCCTGCCTAATTCTCTGGCGGTGGCGAGGAACAGTCACTGCATTCGAGAGATAGAGATACAGAGAGAATTAATTGATCTTCCATCCTCTGGTTCATTCCCCAAATGGCGGCAACCCTGCCAGGGCTGGGCGAAGCCAAAGCCAGAACCCAGTAGCTTCACCCAGATCTCCCCTACACGGGAGGCAGGGGCCCAAGCACTTGGGGAATCGCCCACTGCTTTCCCAGGTTCGTTAGTAGAGAGCTGGCCTGGAAGTGGAGCAGCCTCTGTGGGACAGGTATCCTAAGCAGTAGCTTAACCCACTTTGCCACAGCACTGGCCCTGCTGCAGCAGGCTAAGCCATTGCTTAGGACACTGGCATCTCCTAGCAGAATGCCAGCGGGTGGCCTGGCTCCTGTTCAGATCCAGCTCCCTGCTAATGCACCTGGGAAGGCAGCAAATCATGATCCAAATGTTTGGGCTCCTGTCTACCTTGTGGGAGTCCAGGATGGAGTTTCTGCCTACTGTCTTCCTCCTGGCCCAGCTCCAACCATTGTGGCCATTTAGGGAGTGAACCAGCAGATGGAAGATCTGTCTCTCCATCTCTTTCACTCTGCTTTTCAAGTAAGGAAATAAATCTTTTTTAAAAAAAATACTGAAATGGGAATAAAACTCATCGTGGAATATTTCCATGGACTTGATTTTGCTTATTAATTAGGCGGTGCAGTGACCTGTCAGACATGCTTAGGGACAGTTCTGCTGGGAGGGACAAGGGTGAGCCAGGCTCCTCCTCGTCACGAGGAGTGTGCACAGGGCCCCGGCTGTGGCTTCCGTTTCCTGTGCTTACCTGGTCAGCTGTGGTCCAAGGTGATGCCTGTGGCAGAGTGGTGAGGGCTCCAGGCTGTGCGTCCTGCGCTGGCCTTGGAGGGCTTCCTGCCGCAGATGTTCCAGCACGTGTGGCCGCCGCAGGCCAGGTGAGCTCGCTGACCACAGATCCTGCAGCACGTGTGGCCGCCGCAGGCAAGGTGAGCTCGCTGACCACAGATCCTGCAGCACGTGTGGCCGCCGCAGGCCAGGTGAGCTCGCTGACCACAGATCCTGCAGCATGTGTGGCCGCCGCAGGCAAGGTGAGCTCGCTGATCCCGGGGAGGGACGGGCTGGGTGGAGCAGAGGTGGCCTTTGTCACCAGTGGTGTGACTTCTGTCAAAGGACACGAGCTGACAGGCTGGCACAGGTTCTCAAAATAAAAGACAGAAGTGTGAGAAAGCTGGAGCTGATTTTACCAAATAGTAAATAACTAAGGCAGAGTTTCCAAAAGGGCTCTGAAGCCCCCGTGTTTGGGATGTTCGTGGGTACTTTGGGCTGAATCGTCCTGCCTTCAAAGGCTTGCTCCAGCGCCTCCTAACACTCAGTGGGCTGAGCGCTGGTGAGTTATCAAACCAGCACTCTTCTGGTGAAGCTCAGGTAGAGCAGGGAGCGAGTAAGTGCTTCTGGGAAAGCAGACAGCAAACAGGGGTCTGAGAGCCTGCGCTCAGAGGTAAGGAGAGAGGAGTTTTGTTGAGTTGAATAAAGAGAGAGAGAAAGTTGCCAATATCCGAGAAGGGCACAGGAGGAGTGCAAAGGCCCTGGGGCCACAGACTGGTGGTTTTGTTAGAGGGAAATCAAGGAGGCCCAAGGAGCAGAGGTGGGAGGCGGGGAGACTGGCAACACCCTGGGGGTTAGGGAGGAGCACCTGTGGCACACACTTGGTGGGAGGAAATGGGGGCTTGGCCTAAGCTGCCTGCTGGTTTGAAGGGTCAGTCCACTTCTTTGAACAGGATGTGAGAGGACAAAGAGGAAGATCCCCTGGAGGCACACATAGGAGTTCCAGTGGGAGGCTGGGACGGGCTGGGACGGGCAGGGACTGGGGGAGGATGGCGAGAAGCGGTTAGGTTGGGACCCTAGGAAGGCTCGGAGAAGTCCCGCAGCCAAACCCTTTGTTTTCTTTAGCAACACAGCAAGGGCAGTCAGCTGGCGTTTGATAAAGCATAGCTTGGAGAATGCCGACAGAAGGGTTTTTGCTTCATTCCTGTTGTCTTTCCCGTGAGAAACACGTTAGCACTTAACATAAGCTCACACAGACGTAAATGTAGCTCTAGATATCCAAAGAAAGGTTTCTATGCAGGATACAAAGTCAAGAAGGCTGAAAAATTTTATATGTTATACACATAGTCTCTGCCTTTATTTTCTTTTTTTTTTTTTTTTGGTAAAAGATTTATTTATCTGTTTGAAAGGCAGAGTTATGGGGTGGGGGGGGGCAGTGCAGAAAGATCTTCCATTCACTGGTTCATTCCCCAAATGGCTGCAACAGCCAGGGCTGGACTGATCCAAAAACAGGAACCAGGAGCTTCTTCCAGGTCTCCCATGTGGGTGCGGGGGCCCAAGCACTTGGACCATCTTCTGCTGCTTTCCCAGGAGCATTAGCAAGGAGCTGGATTGGAACTGGAGCAGCCAGGACTTGAACCAGCACCCATATGGGATGCACGTGTTGCAGGCAGAGGCTTTACCCACTACACCACAGTGCTGGCCCCTTCCCTTTCCTTTCCAATTTTACTGTATATCTTAAGATGCTACAACTCCTATTTAAAATGAAACAGAGGGCCGGCACCGCGGCTCACTAGGCTAATCCTCCGCCTTGCGGCGCCGGCACAACGGGTTCTAGTCCTGGTCGGGGCACCGGATTCTGTCCTGGCTGCTCCTCTTCCAGGCCAGCTCTCTGCTGTGGCCCGGGAGGGCAGTGGAGGATGGCCCAAGTGCTTGGGCCCTGCACCCCATGGGAGACCAGGAGAAGCACCTGGCTCCTGCCTTCGGATCAGCGCGGTGTGCCAGCCGCAGCGCTCAGGCCGCGGCGGCCATTGGAGGGTGAACCAACGGCAAAGGAAGACCTTTCTGTCTCTCTCTCTCACTGTCAACTCTGCCTGTCAAAAAAAAAAAAAAAAAAAAAAAAAAAAAAAAAAAAAAAGAAACAGAGAATAAACAAACAACAGATAAAATATAATTGCATCAGTATGAAAGCCAACGAAAGGCTTTAACAAGTCTTTAATAAAAGCCCTCGGGGAGGAGCATGTGGCCTCGTGGTTAAGACTGTTTAGGGATGCCTGGATCCCATATCGGAGGGCCTGGATTCAAGTCTTGGTTCCACACTCGATTCCAGCTTCCTGCTAATGCCCACCCTGGGAGGCAGCAGTGATGGGTCAAGTTGTTGGTTCTCTGCCACTCATGTGAGACACTCAGAGTGAGTTCCTGGCTCTCAGCTTTGATCTGGTATTATGAGTTTTTGAAGAGTAAACCACTGGATGGGAGCTCACTCTACCTCCCAAATAATAAATCACCAGTAAGCCCAATTCTTTCCAATACTCAAGTACTTTCCGTATTAGAAAACTGCATCCAGAGCAGTCTCTAAGAGTAGAGTTCTGGCATGTCCACAGGAACCACAGGAGACTGCTCCGAGACGCGCGTTGTGGTGGTAAAGCAAGAACTTACAAGAGGACCAGGAATAGGAACAGACGAGTGGCAGAGGAATGAATGGCGAGTGGCTCCTAAAGGGACAAAGAAAGGAGATCAAGTTCAAAAGTCTAGCACAGAAATGTTTCTCTGTTTAATCTGAAGATGCCTTATTCTTGGCTAAAAATAACACATTTTTACAAAGGAAACCAAAGTGGTCATTTCCCACTGCTGATAAATCCATGGGCAAGCTAGAATACTGGAGCTGAAATTTCACAAATCTCTAATCTCTAATCCTCTTGCTCACTGTTAAAGACGTCTGTATAAAAAACAAGTATTAAATCGAATTAACCACAGCACCATTACATCAACATTATTGTAGAAAAATCGGTCTCTTAAGTTTATCGTGCAGAAGAGCTTTTATTAGTGAGCTGAAGTCACTTGGAAAATGGTCACTCGCAGATTTTTACCAGATGACTGTCATTGCTTTCATTCATTTTTTAAAAAAAGATTTATTATTTATTTGCAAGGCAGAGTTATACAGAGACAGAGAGCTCTTCCGTCTGCTGGATCACTCTCCAAACGGCCACACCTGCCAGAGCTGGGCCAGGCTGCAGCCAGGAGCTCCTTCTGGGTCTCCCACGTGGGTGCAGGGGCCCAAGCACTTGGGCCATCCTCTGCTGCTTTCCTGGTGCTTTAACAGGGAACTGGTTCCGAAGTAGAGCAGCAGGGACTTGAACCAGCGCCCACATGGGATCCTGGTGCTACAGGTGGTGGCTTTACTCACTACCCCAAAATGCCAGCCCCTGCTTTGTCTTCCCACATTTCCTGGCAAGAAAACCACAACCTGAGGCTTGGGGCTGGTGCTGTGGCTCAGCAGGTTAACGCCCTGGCCTGAGGCTCTGACATCCCATATGGGCACTGGTTCTAGTCCCAGTTGCTCCTCTTCCAATCCAGCTCTCTGCTGTGGCCTGGGAAAGCAGTAGAAGATGGCCCAAGCCCTTGGGCCCCTGCACCCACATGGGAGACCTGGAAGAAGCTCCTGGCTCCTGGCTTCGGATCGGCGCAGCTCCGGCCGTTGCAGCCATCTGGGGAGTGAACCAGCAGATGGAAGACCAACCTCCCTCCCTCCCTCCCTCCCTCCCTCTCTCTCTCTCTCTCTCTCTCTCTCTGCCTCTCCTCTTTTTTTTTTTTTTTTAAGATTTATTTATTTATTCGGAAAAGAAAACCATGACCTGAGGCTCTATTGATGTGAACGTCCCTATTTGCTGTTAGCTTGGCTGATTTCTTTTCAAGGTGCGTATTCCAGATCCATTAGAATGTACTTGGGGCCGGCGCCGGGGCTCACTAGGCTAATCCTCCGCCTTGCGGCGCCGGCACTCCGGGTTCTAGTCCCGGTTGGGGCCCTGGATTCTGTCCCGGTTGCCCCTCTTCCAGGCCAGCTCTCTGCTGTGGCCCAGGAGTGCAGTGGAGGGTGGCCCAAGTGCTTGGGCCCTGCACCCCATGGGAGACCAGGAGAAGCACCTGGCTCCTGCCTTCGGATAGGTGCGGTGCGCTGGCCGCAGCGGCCATTGGAGGGTGAACCAACGGCAAAGGAAGACCCCTCTCTCTCTCTCTCTCTCTCTCTCTCTCGCTGTCCACTCTGCCTGTCAAAAAAAAAAAAAAAAAAAAAAAAAAAAAAAAAAAAAAAAAAAAGAATGTACTTGGCCATAGCCAGCTACCATGGCCTCTCTGCCGTTTCTTATAACACTCTCTCTAATGCTCACAGGACTGATAGAGACAAAATCCTCGCAGCCATCATTGCCGGGGGAGGACAGAGTTCTGACGTGCTCCTGCCAGCTGTCATCACGTCCATCTATCAAAGCAAATATGACAGAGAAGTGGATCGTGAGTCAAAAGAGCTCTGTTCCAGGGCTGGATTTGCCTTTAACTGCAGCTGCGAAGCCCTGAGCGAATGACAGCTTACCTTATCTGGAAAATGGGCACAATAACCCCTAACGATGTGAAAATCACGTCCTCAGACTCCTCTCAACCTTCTCCTCCCCTGGGTCTCAGCCCTGGCACATGTTGTTGCAACCCTTGCTAGTCTAATTCTATCAGGAATCCTGCTGGGACGGTGTAGGGTGAACCCCTCCCCTAGCCACGGAGTGCAGGCACCCTGGCCTGCCGTCAGCAACAACCCCGACTTGTTCTTGGGAGTTGAGGTCCCTCCCTCTCGCCCTGTTGTGAGTCTTGACACCTGTCTTGAATAAAGTTTTCCACACTGCTTTGAAAAGAGTATATTTTTCTTTAAAGGGAAAAAAATGACAGAATTAAGATGTGGAAGGAAACGGATTGCCAAAACCTAGAGAGGGACCAGCACTGTGGCACACCAGGGTTAGCCACCAGCTATAGTGCCAGCATCCCACATGAGCACTGGTTCAAGTCCCGCTGCCCTGCTTCCAATCCGGCTCCCTACTAATGTCTGGGGAAGCAGAGGAAGATGGCCCAGTGCTTAGGCTGCTGCTGCCCACGGGGGACCCAGTTGGAGTTTCTGCCTCCTGGCTGTGGCCCGGCCCAGCCCTTGCAACCATTTGGGGAGTGAATCAGCTGATGGAAGATCTCTCTAATTCTGCTTTTCAGATAATTAAAAAAATAAAATAAAAACCCACAGCAACATGTCCCTCAGGGAACGCCCCTGTTTCACTCTGTGGGCGCGTCCGCTCGTCTTCAGGGGTGGAAAGGAGCCTGCGTGCAGTGAGCTCGGATCTCGCCCACACAGGGCACCTCACAGTCAGCAAGGTGCTGTCTTTTGCCTCCTGCCCGAAATTCCACCTTGTGAGATAAGCTCAAGTGCTATACACAGTCACAGCTGCCAGGGCCTCTCCTCTAATTCGTAACCCTGTTTCACCAAGGCGTATTTAGAATCACGGTGTTTGGAGCGTATAGTTTAGAGGCACTGCTCCTACAAAGCTCACATCTCCCGACAACCACACTCTTGACAGGCCAAGGGACGGAGGAGGAGAGAGAAGCTATTCTGCTGGCAGCTTTGGGCCAAACTGCTCCACATGCCTGTGAAACCCTTGAGCCCATGTCCCAGGACTGGGAAGGTGGAGGCACGGGCTCCCTCTGCATGCACCCCAGACAATCACGAGGCAGCAGATGCATCTCCCTATGGACTGCCCCCCTGTTCCAAACAGAGCCTGCTTCCCACCGCCCACCCCTCTTATCCGCACTCTTTCCCTCTATCCTGCAGCAGGCAGCTGGAGGAGCTTGTCCCAGGACCCAGGCCTTTCTGCCTCCCACCTGTCATTCTGTTTTAGATCTCTCAGTCTTCAGAGTTGTGGTTTAATGCTTTCTAAATAGTTCTTTTTAAGATTTATTTAATTACTTGAAAGTCAGAGTAATAAGATAAGGAGAGAGATAGGGAGAGGCAGAGAGAGATGAGAGAGAGGAGAGAGAGAGGAGAGAGAAGAGAGAGAGGAGAGAGAAGAGAGAGAGGAGAGAGAGAGGAGAGAGACAGAGAGAGAGAGAGTGTGAGCAGAGAGAGAGAGCAGAGAGAGAGGAGAGAGAGAGGAGAGAGAGAGGAGAGAGAGAGGAGAGAGAAGAGAGAGAGAGGAGAGAAGAGAGAGAGAGAGAGAGAGAGAGAGAGGAGACAGAGAGAGCGAGCGAGAGAGCGAGCAGAGAGAGCGAGCAGAGAGGAGAGAGGTCTTCCATCCACAAGTTCATTCCCCAGTTGGCCACAACAGCTGGAATTATTCCAATCCAAAGCCAAGAGCTCCTTCTGGGTCTCCCACATGGGTGCAGGGACCCAAGGCCTTGGGCCATCTTCCTCTGCTTTCCCAGGCCATAGCAGAGAGCTGGATTGGAAGTGGAGCAGACGGGACTAGAACTGGCACCCTCATGGGATAGTGCAGGGAGGGGGAGAGAGAACGCAACACAATTTCGAGGACTGTGCAAGGCCTTTAAGACCATTTTTGGGGCTGGCACTGGAGTGTAGCGGGTAAAACCACTGCCTGCAGTGCCGTTATCCCACAGGGGCACTGGTTTGAGTCCCGCTGTTCCACTTCCAATCCAGCTCTCTGCTGTGGCCTGGGAAAGCAGTAGAAGATGGCCCAAGTCCTTGGGCCCCTGCACCCACATGGGAGACTCAGAAGAAGCTCCGGGCTTCGGATCGGTGCAGCTCTGGCTGTTGCGGCCACTTGGGGAGTGAACCAGTGAATGGAAGACCTCTCTCTCTCTTCCTCTGCCTCTCTGTAACTCTGCTTTCAAATAAATAAATAAATAAATCTTTAAAAAAAGAGACCATTTCACCTCTTCAATGGGAAAAAAATTTGTCGGAAAAAAATCTTGTCTTTTATTGAGTATATGTGAAAAGAAGATGGTCAAAGGCATATTGAGAAAGTAAGTCTATAGAAAATGAAAGCAAAGATGTCAGTAAAGGATCAGATAAAACATAATGCAGGGGCTGGTGCCGTGGCTCACTTGGTTGATCTTCTGCCTGTGATGCCGGCATTCCATGTGAGTGCCAGGTTCTGGTCCAGGTTGCTCCTCTTCCAGGCCAGCTCTCTGCTGTGGCCCGGGAAGGCAGTAGAGGATGGCCCAAGTGCTTGGGTCCCTGCAGCTGCATGGGAGACTGGGGGGAGACACTTGGCTTCTTCTGACTTCGGATCGGTGCAGCACCAGCCGTAGTAGCCTTTTGGGGAGTGAACCAATGGGAGGAAGACCTTTCTCTCTGTCTCTCTCTCTCACTGTCTGCAACTCTACCTGTCAAATTAAAAAAAATATATATATATAATGCAACCGGTACTTACACAGGTGCATGTTCTGGTCACACACACAGCTCAATTCACTCTTGTCCACCCTGCACACAGGAACTGGGCTCACCGGAGGAGTGACAAATTACCTGAGGCCTTTTCATTTCTTTGTGGCATGGGTCTTGTTTGTGGATTAGAATTATTTTCATTTCTTTTGTAAATGGCATCTTGAGCTGAAAATGAATGTATCTGGAGGTCAAAGCAGAAGTTAGCTTAGAGGTAACAGCTCTAGCTGCGAGCTCTATGAAACACGTTCATGAGAACAGAAGTTACAGTTGATTACCCACTTCCTAAGAGCGTGTGAGCTCCATGGTAGGCCCTTTCCCTGGTGCCAGATCTGTCACCTACACAGAGCAGCGTCTCAGATTACACCCACCTAAGGGGTCTACACTGAGCAGACAGGGACTCAAGCTCGCTGGAAGAAACACACTAGGCACAATGCTGCCCTTGGACTCCCGTTGGTGGGAGTTCAGAGGTGGGCAATGCTGTGTTTGCACATGCCCCCTCGTCTATGCGTGCAAGATTTTCTCGCACAGCCACGCCGACTCCATCCCCATGAGCTGACCCACTCGACCCTCCCACTCTCCCCGGTGGCTCTCTCCTTACCTCCTGCCTCCGCCCTCACTCTCAGGTCAAGTGTTAGCCTTGCTCTAGCCCAGGGAGCAGACGAGAGCACTTGGAGCCCTCCCTGGACTCCTCTCGCCCACGTCGCCTCTTTCTGGGACCTGCCTGCTCCCAGGGATGGTGCCTTCTCCCACATCCCTGCCAAGCACCACAATGACCCTCACTCAAATCAGCTCCATCATCACAGCATTGCTATTTTTTCTATCTTAAGAAGAAGAAAAAAAACCACACACAACTTAATACTAGCCTCAAGAACTCTCTCCAGTTCTTTCCTGCTCCTAATCAGAATTACCTTCAGCCGGCGCCACGGCTCACTTGGCTAATCCTCCGCCTGCGGCGCCAGCACCCCAGGTTCTAGTCCCGGTTGGGGTGCTGGATTCTGTCCTGGTTGCCCCTCTTCCAGGCCAGCTCTCTGCTGTGGCCCGGGAAGGCAGTGGAGGATGGCCCAAGTGCTTGGGCCCTGTACCCGCAAGGGAGACCAGGAGAAGCACCTGGCTCCTGGCTTCGGATTGGCGCAGCGCGCTGGCCATGGTGGCCATTTGAGGGGTGAACCAACGGAAAAGGGAAGATCTCTCTCTCTCTCTCTCTCTCACTGTCTAACTCTCTCACTGTCTAACTCTCCCTGGCTGGGCAAGGCTGAAGCCAAGAGCTCCTTCCGGGTCTCCCACGTGGGAGGCAGGGGCCTGAGCACTTGGGGCCATCCTGCACTGCTTTTCTCAGGCCATCAGCAGGGAGCTGGATCGAAGTGGAGCAACTGGGATATGAACCTGCTATGCCACAGCGCTTGCCCCGGATCTCTTTACCTTTTGATTAAAATTTATGACTGTTTTAGTCTGCTTTGTGCTACCATAGCAGAATACCCTAGGCTGGGTAATTTAGGGAGAATAAGAATTGGTTTCTCCTTGTTCTGGAGGGTGGGAGCCCAAGAAGAAGGTGCCAGCCTCTGGGCTCTGGTGGAGCTTGCAACCGCTGCATCCTTGGGTGGGGGAAGGTGGGGCAGAGGACCTGCTCTGAAAAGGCACTGAACCCTCCTCATGAGGGAGGAGTCTTCAGTCATGTCACCTTTTAAAGGGCCCGCTGGTTCATACTTCCACAGTGGCCCCACCTGACCCCGAGAGGACAACACTCAAACCCTGCAATAATTACTTAAGACAGCAGCAAAGCTACAAAACAGGGGTGGATGTCGTGGCTCAGCAGGTTAAGGTGCTGCTTGGGATGCCTGCATCCCATATCAGAACACTGGTTCAAGTCCCGCCTCCTCCATTTCTAATCTAGCTGCCCGCTAATGTGCCTGGGAAGGTGGCAAATGATGGCCCAAGTGCATGGGTCCCTGCCTCCTACATGAGAGATTTGGATGCAGTTCCTGGTTCCCAGATGCAGCCTTGCCAGCCCCGGCTGTTGTGGGCATTTGGGGAGTGAACCAGCAGAAAGATCTCTCTCTCTCTCCCTCCTCCTCCTCCCTCCCTCCCTCTCTCTCTCTCTCTGTGTGTGTGTGTGTCTTCTTCTCTGTCACTCTGCCTTACATATTAAGAAGTCTTTTCTGGGGCCAGTGCCATGGCGCAGTAGGTTGGTCCTCTGTCTGCGGTGCTGGCATCCCATATGGGTGCCGGTTCTAGTCTTGGCTGCCCCTCTTCCAATACAGCTCTCTGCTGTGGCCTGGGAAAGCAGTGGAAGATGGCCCAAGTCCTTGGGCCCCTGTACCCGCGTGGGAGACCAGGAAGAAGCACCTGGCTCCTGGCTTTGGATTGGCACAACTCCGGCCATTGCAGCCATCTGGGGAGTGAACCAGCGGAAGGAAGACCTCTCTGTCTCTTCCTCTCACTGCCTGTAACTCTACCTCTCAAATAAATAAATAAATAAAAATATTTATTAAAAAAGGAAGTTTTTTCAAAATTAAAAAGCTGGCGCAGGCCCTGTGGCATGGTGGGTTAAACCTCCACCTGTGATGCTGGCATCCCATATGGGTGTTGTTTTGAGTCCTGGCTATACCACTCCACTTCTGATCCAGTTACCTACTGATGCACCTGGGAAAGCAGTGGAAGATGGCCCAAGCACTTGGGCCCCTGCACCCATGTGGTAGATCCGATTGGAGTTCCAGGCTCCTGGCTTCAGCCTGGCCCAGCCATTTGGAGAGTGAACCAGCAGATGGAAGACCTCTCCATCTCTCCCTCTTTGTAACTCTGCCTTTCAAATAAATAAATCTTTTTTTTAAAAAAAACTTTTAATTTTTTAAAAACCATAAAACAAAGGAAACACAGATTCAGAAAGGTCTAAGTTTCATCTTTATCCTTGATGCCCTATTGCATCCCAGCTCCCCCACAGGTAACTATCTTCATCAGTTTTTGCTTATTCTGTAACATTTCCGCACGTGGATGTGTATGTCCAAGTGTGTGACTCTGTGAGGGTCTTCAAATGTTCATGGAAAATGGGCATATGAACAAAGCTCTGCACAGATTTCAACTTTTTAATTCCACCCCCTAAACTTTTTAAGGTACTCTCACACATATTTTGTAAAGATGTATTTCTTTACTTGAAGGCTGTGGGGGGTGGGTAGAGGGAGAGAGGGAGGGAGGGAGGGAGGGAGGGAAAGAGAGAGAGAGAGAGAGAAACAATCTTCCACCTGCTGGTTCACTCTCAAATGGCCACAACAGCCAGGACCGGGCCAGGCTGAACTCAGGAGCCCGGAACTCCATCTGGGTCTCCCACGTGGGTGGCAGGGGCCCAAGCACTTGGGTCATGCTCTGCCACTTTCCCAGACGTATTAACTAGGAGCCGGATAGGAGGCAGAACAGCCAGGACTCAAACCGCCATGCCACAGTGCCAGCCCCCATCATAGATACTTATGTGGCACATGGTGTTTCAGCTTGTTTCTTCATTCAGATAAAAATAACCAGGAGAGGACTCCTTTGCTGTGCATAAGGATCTTCCTCATTTCTCTTTGTAATCAGTTTGTGGCATGTGGATTGTTTTCACTCTTTTGCTATCACAAAGAGAGCCACAGCGCCTGTGTTTTTCTGTATTTTCTCGGTGTAATTCTGGAATAGTCCTGGAAGTGGGTTCCTGGGACAGAGGGCAGATGGGGATGCATTTCTGCCGACTTGCTCTCCACATCAATTACAGTTTTCTGCATCTGCACTGGCAATTTGTGGAAGTCTCCATATCCCTACAGATGTCTAAAAATAAATGTGGAAATTCAAGAAATGACAATAAGGAAGACAACATGACGTCCCCAAAGGAACACAACACTTCAACACTAGAATGTGAAGATGAAGAGACTGAAGAAATGCCAGAAACAGAATTCAAAAAATTGATCGTGGGATTACTTAGAAGTAGTCAGAAGCAAATCCATGAATTAAGGAAATCTATACATGACATGAGTGAAAAATTTTCCCATGAAATTGAGAATTTAAAGTTAAATCAAAATGAGATATTGGAAATGAAGAATTCAATAGACCAAATAAAAATGCGGTGGAATGCCTTAACAACATACTAGGTGAGGCAGAATAAAGAATATTCAAGCTAGAAGAAAAATCTCTGGAAATTTTACAGTCAGACCAAAAAAGAAAGAAGAAATTGAAACTAAAAAACAGTATTGAAGACTTATAAGATACTATCAAAGCACCCAACATACAGGTCTTAGGAGTTCCCGAAGGCATGGAAAGAGAATGGATTAGAAGGCCTTTTTAGTGAAATAATTACGGAAAACTTTCCCAATTTGGAAAAAGAGACATCCAAGTACAGGAAGCACATAGAACTCCCAATAGACATGACCAGAAAAGATCTTTACCATGACACATTGTAGTAAAATTCTCCACAGTAAAATACAAAGAAGAGAATCCAAAATGTACACAAGAGAAATGCTAGATTACTTTCAAGGGATCTCCAATTAGACTCACAGCTGACTTCTCATCAGTAACTCTACAGGCTAGGAGAGAATGGTGAAATATATCCCAAGTCTTAGGAGAAAAAAACTGTCAATCCAGAATACTGCACCCTGCAAAGCTCTCATTTATGAATCAAGGTGAAATAAAGACCTTCCATAACAAATAGAAAGAACTTGTCACCACTCATCCAGCCATACAAAAGATGCTTAAGGATGTGATACACACAGAAACATAGTCATTACTATGAAAGAAGGTGAAGCCAGAAAATCTCCAAGTAAAACTACAAAGGAAATCCAAAGTAAACAATAGGAATATTTATGGAAAAAAAAAAGGGCAGGGCAAAGTCATTACCTGTCAACAGTCACCTTGAATGCAAAGGGTTTCAACTCTCCAGTTAAAAGATACAGATTGGCTGAATGGATTGAAAAATAAAACTCAGCTATTTGTTGCCTACAAGAAACATCTCACCAACAAAGATACCAACAGACTGAAAGTGAAAGAATGGACAAAGATATTCCATGCTAACAGAAACCAAAAAAGTGCTGGTGTAGCTATTCTAATATCAGACAAAATAGACTTTAACACAAAAACTGTTAAGAGAGAAAGAAGTGCACTATGTAATGATTAAGAGAGCAATTCAATAGGAAGATATGATTATTATAAAC